TAACACAGTCCAGCTCTCCAAAGGTGTAGCAGAACAGGTCCACACCTGGGGCTACCCTCCTCCCTGCCAAAGGTGGCACCAGAGGCAACTGCCCTAGTTTCTCCCACCTCTCCCAACCACTACTACAGCTATCTGCAGAATCCTAAGGAGCTGTGTCTGCCAATGAAGTCTCATTCTAACAATGGCAGAGGAAGAAGGATGTGTGGCTATAGTTATCTGACCTACAAACCACGCCGCTCAATCATTGCAAGGGGTTAGGATAGATTCTCCTGAGACACATTGCATTTTTATATGACTGTGATCCTATATTGCTAGCTGTGCAGCTTCACTGAGAGGAATGGACCGGAAGCTTGGAAGGTGGGAGGCAGTGGGAACTGATATCCAACAGAGCTTATCATCAGCTTCCTGTTACAAGCTTTCTGCCATCCTTTTGTGGTTCCCCAGAGGTCTTACAATACTATCATGAGGCTGAACCTCCTTTTGTCCAACCTACTTTTGTCCTTTGTATAAAGTAAGGCCTACTCCACCTAGCAGTTGGGAGAAGGTCTGCTTCTGACGGGAGCTGCTACCAAGGACAATTGCTTCTGAGGACTACTGGCAGCAAAAATTGTTGCTGAGTGTGCTGCTACTGTGGGCAGAGAAGTCAGAAGCTACTGAATATCCAGGATTGCCTGGTATCCTTTACTAAAGGAGCAGAGTTTGTGCAAACTGGCTCCTCTCCCCGCTCTTTAGTTCCCTGGGTGCAGGGATTCACTGGGAAGGACTCAGGGAAAGGGGTTACTAGAGAAGGTTCTCTAGGAGAGCTAAATGAAGTAGCAGGGAATCTTGGCTTTGTGGGAGCTCCAGCAGAGAGCTCAATAAAGTACAGCTGCGAAAGGGCACTCCAGATGCCAAACACAGTGGAGCTGCCTTGGGGATGCATTTGGGGACAGTGTGATTGTTTGCAGGCATCTAGGAAAGACTGGAAAAGGGAAGAAACCCGGGTCTCAGGAACAGCTGCACCCAAGGTCCTGACAGACGACTCCATCTTCTGACCAGATGACAGCATTGCCACATCTCTTCTAAGGCAGAGCGAGCACAGCTCCTCAGGTGCTCAACTGCAATCATCTCACAGCTGCGGGCAGAGTGATTCTGTGGGGATCTGGCTGATTAGGTGTACATACCCATTATAAGTTGCCCAAGTACTAAATTTGATAACATAATTGCTTTTGCTGTATGATAAGTGTTTGCTTCTATTTGCTGATATAGATTATTATCGAGCTCATTGAAAATATTGTGTTTGTTATCTATGTGATGTGGAATCTGTTAATTTCTCAGTTACTATTGTAAATAATACATTATTGTAAATAGTCATGTAGTGTGTGGTCTGGTGTGGGGAGAACCACGGGAGAAGACTCCACTGAGTGGTAGCTCCCAGCCTGTAGACAGAGTGGGAGTTGACTAAGACCTATTGATACCCCAGGATCCCAAAAATGTAGGTGTGGCTGCAGGTAGCACTGCTACCAGGGTTACAAATACAATTGGACATCATTCATGCACCAAAACCAAAAAAGCTTACTCCTGGAGTCTACAAATAACTTGGGGAAAGGCTAAAATCAGACTTTGTAACAATTATTTGTATATCCAGAGTAACAGCAGTACACTTATCTAGGTAAGAGAATAACCATCAGTACTTTAAGGGCTTTCCGAGAGTTTTTTAATAACCAGAATCAAAAAAAAGCTTTCACCGATATGTATTGCTAAATTGTTCAAATGACACATTTGATTTGGGAACATCCTCAAGCCCATTCAGGCAATGTCCATGATAGCATGCCCAATATGGCGAACCCAATCAGTTTAATGATTTGAACAGAAAGACAACTACAGCTCATTTTAGAACAGTGCTATTTTCTGCTCCCTTGGCAAATGAGCTTTCTTCCTTGGTCTGCAGTTGTCACCTATATGTTATGGGGGTTGCTGAAATGTAAAGTTTTCCCACAATTTTCTTGCTGTGGTAGAACAGCATCTTTGAATCCCACAAACCAGATCGTGTAATATATTTGGAAAGAGTAAGCAAGTACTAAATACTAAGTAAAACTGCTGATTTTGAAACTAACTTCCCACTTGTTTAACATGTGAATTTGTACCCCTTCTCTATGGGTTATAATGTGGATCATCTTGGCTTTAAAGATATGTCTTGTGAGCATGTATATTTACATCAGCAAGCATACAAAAACCTTTCTTAGAGAAATTCCATTTAGGTTTAGCTAAAAGCAACTGGAAGTTGCCTTTTAAATGTATTTCCGTCCTAGCCAAAGTGAATAAAAATACAGCTAGTGTTCCACTTAGTGTATTAACTGTGCAGTTACTCCTGCTTCAGACCACCTTTGCATCAAAATTATTTGCCTAAGACCTACTTTTAGACTATTCATTCTAGTTCATTCATTCATAGAAATAAGCTACAGCAGGGGTTCCCAAAGTTTTTATACTGCGGCCTGACAAACCACGGCCCAGCAGTCGCAGCCGACCACGACCAAAATTTCCAGCCATGAAGAAAACAGGTTAAGAATACCCCCACCCCCCAGGCAGAAGGGGGGGGGGGGGGGGGGGGGGGAGGAGTAGGCCAAACCGTGCACTTTTGTATTAATTCTCATCCCAGCAGCCTGGCACTGCCCCATACATCATGGCTGGCCCAGGTGTGGACCTGTCCTGCTACACCTTTGGAGAGCTGGACTGTGTTAATAGGGGCAATAGTCTCAAAATTCTCCCCTCATCTCAATGATCAACAGTTAGCCTTGTTTGTGATAGAGCTAAATTGTTCCTTTTCATATACTTGAACTTGTAAAATGAACATCTAATACTCTGTTTAATTATGTATGTTTAAATATGTATGTTTGAATCGTACTGATACATAGTCTTTCTTGCTTGCTTGTAAGACAGGCAGTTTTGACAAGAGGAAGGGAAGCAATATAGGGCAAGAAGATAAGTCAGAGGTGGTATTTGCTTGTCACAGGTCCTGCGAAAGGAGCCACAGCCTCTCTGCCCAGCTCTGGGGGGGGCCGTGGTTTGCTGGTCTGCAGCCAGTTCCAGTCCGGCAGCCAGCCGACCATGCTGCGAACCAGCAGCCAACCCGCCGCAGCCCAGCACTGGGCCACGGCCTGGGGATTGAGAACCCCTGAGCTAGAACAATAGTTTTCAACTATTTTTTCATTTGCAGAGCCCTAAACATTTCAAAGGGATGTTCAGACCCCTCTGAATCCTAAGTTTGGGTATTCACATACTTTTGATTGATTATAGTCATCTTTAGCAGACCCAAAGGGGTCTGCGGATCAGAAGTTAAAAACCACTGAGCTACAGTAATGAGAGATCCTTCCAAAGTGCTGTACAATATAAGTACAGTTAGATGTGCCAATGTCTACTCATAATTTGCAAAATAAATCCAGAAGTTTCAAATAGGAATCCATAGCATTGTGGTCCCTTTGCAAACAGAAAAAAAATGTTCTATTATGTTTTCTATAGCGAGAAAACAAATGGAAACTAAGACCTGGCATTTTCTGAGGAGGTCCTTGGGACTGAGGTTTAAGTGACTACTACTGGACACCTGGTAAATCACTTAAGCATGCAGATCTTCATAAAATGATGAGTTTGTTTTTCCCAGTTACTGATTTGTTGTTCCTGTTTTGGAATTGCATCAAACAGTCTCTCTTCCCCTCAAGGGATTTTTCATTTCCACAGCCATTATAGCTACCTAGACTTGGTTACCACAGAAAGGGGTAAGGCATGGAGAAATCAAGATTTTCCATTTTATTCCCATACAGTTGAATCAGGCTGCCAGATAGCAAGGAAGTACCAATAATGTTGCATATTAATATCAGGAAATAAAAATTTAGCTAGGTAGTTTTAGCCTCTTTTGGGATGCTTTCTCATCTAAAACTATGTTCCTGAACTGCCTGGAGCACACTCAGTCAAGCAGCTGACTGTGTCATTAAAAGTTGCTTTTTAGAAACCCTAAACAAAATTGCAGTCTATGCGTTTCTATTAGGACAACTGCATGCTTGGCACCTTCCATTTTTCTGTCAGCAGCAGGGTAAAGCACTGGACACACTTTCAGTAATAAAGCAGCCAAATCAGCAGGGTGCTCCTGAGGGTCCCGGCCCTGAGACTCTTACCCCCCCACCTAACCGTGGACAAGTACAGGGTGTTTATAAAGTCCTTGTACCACTTTAAACTTTAATAACTCTGGAGATACATGTGATAGACACAAATGGCAATTGAAAGCATAATTAAGTTTTTTAGCATAGTGTGAGCTGAGCATGGGGTGAGGATCACACATGCAATTCATGAAATCACTCAGCAAATATAAAATGTTCTCTGCAAGTTGGAAAATCGCATTGAAGGATGCATCCCCAAATCTGGCGGTTATGTGAATGTCGAGATATTTGAGCTGCCTTGCGTTAAAACTTAATGAATTACGCTTTCAATCACCATCTAGTTTGCCTCTATCATGGGGACATCCAAAGTTGCACAGCACTGTAGCAGCACCCTGTATTTCCGCGACATCTCTTAAGCTCCCTAAACTGAAAGAGCATTCAGCTAAGCACGAGAGCCGGGATACAGACAAGGGGGAGGAGGCATTCCCCAGGAATGGGGAATGCAGGGGAAGGGAGCTTCTTCCACCCGTGCTTGTGGAGCACAGCCAGGCCAGCCCTCAACAGAGGGCAAAGCGCCAACCCGGCGGCCTACCCCCTTGCAGCCCAGAGCGAGCGGGCTCCGAACACCCCGCCCCTGTCACCAGTCCGAAGGCTCGCGCAGGCGCAGGAGAGTTAGCAAGACAAAGGAGCGCAAGCGCACTGCACTCAACAGGCCAGCCCCACCAGGGGCGTGGAGAGGGCGGGGTTTTGATGGGAGGGGCGTGGCCAGGGCCAACCGCCCTGGAACGTTGGTGCTGCTGGCTGCTGCTTGAGCCGTTAGGGGGTGGGTCGCTGCTCGGCGGAGGCGAGGGGGCGGAGCCACGGCGCGCAGGGCCGTAGCTGTGCGCATGCGTGCGCACTGCGCGCAGGTGCGGGGTGTGCGTGGTCGTGTGTGTGTGTGTGTGTGTGTACATAGTTTGCAGTTGTGGGAGCTGAGAGTCATGGGCTTGCACAGTTTTGCGTTTGAATCCTGTGTGTGTGCACGTCCATGTGCAATAATGCACGCACGGCTGTGCATGAGACCACCTGCACAGGTGCAGGTCTGAAGGCCAGGGGTGTATGGGCCCAGAGGGCCACGTGTACTTGCGTGGAGATTTGTCAGAGTACAAATACACACATCCCAAGTGTGCACTTTTGGGGCTTGGTGTAGCAACGTGTGTAGGCAGGGAGTGTGTGCATTGGGAGTTGGTGAAGTGTAGGAGCTACCTGCCTGTGCACAGGTGTGGGTCAGAGTGCCATGGGTGTGTGCAGACATGAGGAGGCTGAGAAGGGTCTGTGTACTTGCATAGCCACATTTCAGCATGCGTCATGCAAATGCACATGTGTTTGTGCATGTGTGTTGTGTGTGCCTGTTTGGTGTAGCAGTTTGTGTGGGGAGGGTGTGCGCGCATTGGGAAATGGCAAGTGCATGATTTCTGCCTTGCATCAATATTTTGTGAGTAGGTCACTGGCTTTGATGACCCAGGTGATCCCTTCCCATTCTGTATTCTGGTCCTTGGCTTAATTTGGCTCTAAAATAAAAGAATAATTTTAAAAAAATCTGAAGTTGTTGTCAATTGGCATCCGTCTGTGGGCTTCAGTGGAACTGTGTGACTCTAAATTAGCTGCAGATCTGGCCTGTAGAGGTCTCCACTGTTGGAAAAGCATTGTGTGTAAATCAGTTCTCCGTGTCACAATTTATATGCAGCTAAACTTTACAGAGCAATAACTGCATCTTTTCAAAGTGCTGTATATTTTGCTGTTTTCATGTAATCATAGGGAAATGGCAAGCAAGAAGAAAGAACTCCAGCTGCAGGTATAAATCTTGTTTGTAATTCCAGAGTTCAGTAGAATTGTAGACATTTTTGCAGGCATTAAAATCTGGGTTCATTTTATTTCAGGCAGTACTAACCACTCAAAGTCAATGGGAGGAAATGGTGCTGACTAAAGGTGTAACAGGTAGTATTATTTTTTTGTATTAATCTTACACACTGAAATGCATGCATCTTTTTTTATCACTCTTTGTTTTTGTGTGTGACAATCCCTGGACATATCTACAAGTGCAATGAATGTGCATGAATAAACTCTGGAGCTTATTGCTCTGAAGTTTATTGCTCCTGGGTGCACCTTTTAAATGTGCGCCCAGAAGTACAGCATGTTGAGCTGGATCAAAGCAGCCCTGCCCAGCTGGTAGTGGGACCGGGTGGGGGTGGTCAGCCTGCCAGGGGTTGCTCCCCTGGCTCAGCGTGCTTTGGACAGGCTGGCTGGGACATGAGGGTGCTTTAGCATAGAGCTAGTCTTCAGGCAGCTCTTGCACTGAAGCACCCTCATGCCCCAGCCAGCCGAGGCAACATCAACTGGCAGGGGGGGCACATGCCCCCCTAACGGGGCTGGTGTCCCCCCGACAGCCGACACTGATGCTGTTGGTAGGGCCACTGCCCAACCCCCCCAATCCCCCGACAGAGCCGCTGCCATTGGCGGCTTCTGCAGGTGCCCCTCCAGATCCCGGAGGCACCAGTTACTCATGCAGGGAAGCATCTACAGGCGTACTGCTGCACAGTAAAAAGCTCTGCAGTGGGAAACTACTTGTAAATACTGTGGAGTTAATTAATTTACTCCAGCCTAGTAGGAATACACGTATAGATGCGCGACACTTACGATGCAGCTAATTAGCCTACTGCGCAGTAAACATCTGGTGTAGACATGCCCCCTTTCTGCCAAGATATTTCTTACTATAAACATACCTTTGACATTTCCTGTGTTTTATCCATTAAAGCAGAGAATTCCAGAAACCTTCATAAAATATTCAGGGTCTATGGGTATTCTGGATAGAGATGAAGGGTTTGATATTTGTACCCTTGACTTGGTAGCAAAACAGGTATGGGCTAGATTTATCTTTCCATGTTAGCGGTAACATGCGAGATGATTCTAGCAAATGAATCCATGTGAGATTAGGCATTGCCTGGGGCGGGGGGTGATCCTGTCATTGGAAGATCTGGTGGAAGACAGCAGCTGCCTTTGATGGGATCGCAATATCTGGCAGAAGGTATAGGGATATCTACAAATACTACTGGGAGGTGGCAGAAGCTTCTTTTCACTCAGGGGGATTGTGTTATGTGTCAATAGAAAAAAGAGTTCTTCACCCACAGAGCATATTTGCTGGGGAATCTTGTAGCCCAGGGAATAGATGCCATGACCTGCCCCCAACCAACACTCATCTCTGCCACTTGTACTGGCTTTTTTGGAGTTGTTACGGTCACCCAATCCAGGCATATGCATATACAGAGAATTCTGTATTGTCTCTACCTAAATATTCATTAAAAAATAGTGATGTTATTCTTTCTCAGGCGTCTGAGATTTAAGCATTCTTCTGTATTGTCCATGAAATCTAAAACAAAAAAAACGTTGACTTTGTGCCTGGGAAGGGGTAGACTCAGCAAGTTAGTTCATTTTTTCTCTCAACTCAGGAGATTGAATTAAACTGCAGGATGGGTTTTATGTACCCATTTTTGCACAGGGGTACCTAACATAAGACAAAAGCAATTATAAAGTGTATGCTCTCAAAGAGTGCATATACTATATTTTGTATTTTCCCTGCTCCCTTCAATTTTCTACTGATTCCTCATGCATGCTAGGAGCAATATCAGTCAAATATATTGGGAATAGTCTTTGAAAAAGTAGAATACAGTAGGCAGGGAACTGGAGAGAGATTAAGAGGTAGCAGGTAAGATTGGGAGAGAGACCTTCAGGAAGCAAGTAAACAGCACACAAGGGAGAGGGTAGGCTATGGAAGGAGAAAACCAGAAAGATGCTATGGGAGAAGGCAGCAGTTATGGAGGCAGAAAAGGAAAAGCAATTAAGAGGGAAATTAGAGGAGAAATGTATGCATCTAGATTCCTCACCTCAAAATAAACTTTTATAAAGGGGGGTAGGACTTGATGATCTGTTCAGGTCCCTTCTGACCTTAGAAACTATGAAACCTAGAAACTATGAAACTAAGGGTGTGTCTACACTGAAGACTAGTATAGTACAGAGGTATCTGATCCAGAGTTAAACAGATAATGCAGGTACCAGAAGCAATCTAATCATGGCAGCCCAGATCTCTGTGTGGTCTAATTTACTTGGCAAACTAGGAGTTTTAAAAGCCCACACTGCTGTGGCTAGGCTGCTTCTAGTACCTACACTAATTAGCAAAAACCTGATCAGGCATCTCTACTATGCAGTCTGTATTAAGGACCTGCTGCAACATAATCTAGATTGAAACCTATTCTATCTATTGAAATGAATGCTTCTCACAGAAAAAAAGATTTCATAATGTAAGTTAATAACTTTTCAGGACTAGCCCTCTACTTGTACAAAATGGTTTATTTTGTAAAGTTTCTGAAACAGGTATGTTTCATTCTGAATTTTTATGGTTTCAGTAATAGATGTATATCAAGCTTGGTGTGGACCTTGCAAAGCTGTGGTAAATTTATTCAGAAAACTAAAGAATGAGTATGGTGAAGACGAACTTTTGCAATTTGCAGTGGTAAGGATATAACATCTATTTAGAACTTTAGTATCAAGTATGTATTTTTATCTTTCTGGTTATATGATGTCTCTCACAATAATACCTTTATACCAGTGGAGTGAAGGATGTTCACTATGATGAATTTGTCCTGCTAGTCTCTTCTTCTGCATCTCTCCCTTAAAGACTTTGTGCAGAGGCAAGTCAGAGTTTGTAGTGAATATGGAAGGATCCATAATCCTTTCAGAGGTATTGAGCATCAAAAATTTCCATTGAAGACCATGAGAATTAAGAATATTCAGCACATCCAAACATCAGAGTCGTTTCATATTACTTTTCGTCATTCATCTTAAAGGAGCAGAAAATAGAAAGATGAAAAATAAATAGATTTAAATAAATTTTAAAAGTTGTATAGCTACTTTAGATAATAACAATCTGGCCTTGAACTGGGAATTGGACTAGATGACCTCCTGGTGTCCCTTCCAGTCTTATTTTTCTATTATTTGTTACGACTGTAGGCAGAGGCTGACAACATTGTGACTCTGCAACCTTTTAGAGACAAATGTGAACCTGTATTTCTCTTCTGTGTTGTAAGTATAGCATGCCCCAGTTCTTATGCTTGTACTGCCTATTTTTGAATTACTATTTCAGTAGATTGAAAATAAAAAGTTGTACAAATGTAAATCATATCTTTACTCTGTCTTTTGAACCACCATTTTTCACAATCCAAATACACTTTTAATCAGGGAAAAGAAGGTTATGTTTCCTGCCTTGCAAGGCCTGTCAAGATTTGTACAAAGTAGCCATTTTAATAGTGAATCATACAGAAAAGAAAAGGTGTATTTTCACAGCACTTCTTTTAACAGGATAAGAAAATACTCAATTTGACTACAGTACAATATAACAGAATCTTGCTGACTTAAAATTTTGAGATTTAGATGCTAGTAGCAAGGGGTTCAGAATTAAGGGTTTTTTAAATAGACTGAAACTACTCTGTACAATTACTGCCATACGTAATAAAAGCATCTTTGATCTCATCAAAATCTGGGCAGTTTTACTATACTATACTTACATGTGGTAAAGCAATGAGCAGAGGAATGAAGCAGAACAAGGAGGGTAATAAAGAAAGCAGTGGGAATGGAGGACCCAGAACCCAAATGGGAAAATAAAGAAAAACAAACAGTGGATGGGAAAACCTGGGAACAAGGACAAAAGGAAGTCAAAGCCAAAAATACGTAATTTTTCATTAGGCTTTGCTCAAGAAAATCAAGAAATACCTTTAATTGGAACAAGGTCATATCCCAAAAGAGGAAAGAGCGAGTGTCTTAAAAATGAGACCAGAAGTTAAATGGAACAGTGTAAAATAGAGTGGGAAAGAATGAGAGAGAAATGAGCAGAGGGAATAGAGAAAGTGAATTTACAACTGATTATTATTTACATGATGGTCTCTACACAGTTCTGGCCACATGGTGTGAACATTAATTTATTCATGCTTCATTGCTATATGTAAGATATTGAAAAAAGACTTCAATGTAAATTAGATTCCAACTCAGAGTGTACCTGAGTGCAGTCCTGTTCCAGCTGACAATAGCTGATTGGTAGACATTTGGCTTTCAACTTGCTAGGGCAGGAGAAGCCTGGAATCATGATTTCAGACTTCCTTTGCACTGGCAAGTAGGGCACAACTGGAGTCTGATTGCTGGCCTCAAAACCGTGTGTCCTGTGGTATGGCAGGAGGCATGATTGTTGGGCTCAGATCCAAGCCATTCCTTTAAATGAATGTCTGTCTAAGCAGTCTTAGTTTTAAAACATAGTATTATGGTAATTGTTGGTAAAAAAAAAAAAAATTGAGAAATCAATTTAAATGTGCTAAACTAAATGACCTAATCTTAGCTGATAGTGTTATTTTATTCTTTATTTTTTACAGGATGGCAAAATTATAGCAATAGTGAGAGGTGCAAATGCCCCACTTCTCAGTAAGACAGTAATAGAGCTAGTGGAAGAAGAGAGAAAAATTGTAGCAGGGGAAATAGAACGTCCTGAGGTATTAATAAAATGGCTGTTTTTTTATAAAGTTTGAATATAATTGAGTATTTGTATTGCATTTGCTGGGGCTGTTCTATGCCTGGAGGGGTGTTCTTTGTTTGTTCTTTTACTCACAATTTGTTTTTACTTTTATAAATGCCACAGTCTTCATAAGATGGCATGTATCCAAATTTTTAGAAAATTCCATTTTATTTGATTTTGATTTGTGGAAGTTTTACAGGTTGTTCTGTTCATACACATGAAAGAGAGGTTCATTAACACAGATATCATGAAAACTCCTCTTATTTATTTTTATATCCTTCAGCTCTGGACATTATTTTTAATTATCTTTTTAACTCTTAGTGAAATATATACTGAAAGGGTCTTACCTCACTCCTTCCATTTGAAACAGAAGTAAAGTTCTGTTCCACTCCATAGAAATGCGAAAAGCAGATAGTAACGGGCAATAGCCCAAATAAGAAAAATTAGGCCAAATCTAAATCTTAGCACTGCCATATAGGATTCTACAGTAGATATATTCTGTTAGCATATAAAGAGAAATCTGCCGCTTTGACCAGCATTTTCAAAAATAGGAGCGTAAATTTAGGCTCCTAAAAATTTGTTTAAGCATTTCAAGTGTGTCCTGATTTTTCAAAAGTGCTAAGGCCCGTGAGGCTTAAACTTTATCTTACCTCAGTCTGTAATTTTTTTAAATATCAAAATTGTGCAGTACTGTTGCAATACTGTGTGGGTAAGTTAGCTAAATCTTACAGGGGCCTTTGGATAATTAAGAGTAGATTAGTAAGTCTCAGCTGAATTATAGGTTCCTCAAAACCCAAACATGAAAAAAAAATGGGACCTAGGTAACTTAGGTATTGTGCATTGCATCTCAGTGGGAAATGTAAATATGCCCTGTTAGAGTTGTAGGGAGGTTATCAGGGGAGGGCAGCAGAGAAGGAAAGGAAGAGTTGCTTGGTCAAGGTCATGTAACAGATCACTAGCTTAGCAGGGAATGGAACCCAAGGGTGTGTCCAGATGAGTGCGTTTTTGTGGTTTGCGGAGCTGCACATGCAGGCGTTGATGCTGGGAGATCCTGGTGTCAAAAAAACCTGCGGCAGAAAAAAGTGGGGCAGTGCATATAGCAGCACCTTGTACCACCTGAAACAGGACCCTAACTGGCCGGAGCTACGCTTTGGTTGCTGGCCTGGCTCCATGTGTCTGGATCACCTCCACTGTAGCTGTGGAAAGCCCCCAAGATCCCAGGTAAGGCTACTGGAGCCAGCCCAGGAGCTAGTTCCAGCCTCCCATACCCCACCTGGGGCAACTTGCCACGTGTCAGAGACACATGCAAAGGCATTCTCTGGGAACAAGTAGCAACAACACGCCAAGTCTCCTGGTTCTCAGTTTCTATCCATTTGTACACGCTGTCTCTATACTAGTTGTATCATTTTATCATAACAACAACCTGAAAATTGTGGGTTTTTTAGGTAAAAGAACTGGTATTTTTAGAAGAGAAAAATTCAGATGCATTTGCTGAAGGAAGCCAGCTTGATGGTAGGTATACTTCAGTTACTCTATAATGGTTCATGGAAGGAAGAAAAATCAAGAAATACCTTATTAGTTATTTGGCTGCAGGATTTTATGTTTCCTACTGACTTTCCTGTGATTCATTTGGTAGCATGAAAATTTTTACAGAAGGAGCTGATTAGGAAATGTAACTGACAGCAACAACATTCGTATACAGGGGTTTAGGTCATAGCCGTGTTGGTCTAAGGACATAGGCAGACAAGGTTCCTTGGGTGAATTTGATATCTTTTATTAGACCAACCCAAATGGTTGGAGAATAGTTATTAAGCAAGCTTTTGGGTTCAAAAACCCTTCGTCAGGCTAAGGAAGTTTCAGCAGTTGGTGTGTGCTCTTCCTGGATGGAATGACTTTTCAAAATTAATACAACTGTCTCTTGAGGCAGTTGCTTGTTTTAGGACAGTATTGTCTTTTGCAGTTTCTTTTACATTATTCATTCATTGTCCAGCCTCTCCACCTTGCATGGTAAAACTTTGTCATTCTCCAAAAAAGTAAGGATCCACAAAAGGAAAATAGATGCTTTTATGTCAAAGATTTTTGTCTCTAGATCCATACTAATCTGACTTTTTTCATGCTTTTTCGGAGCCCTTTATATTACAAGTAACAGGATAGAGCCATTAGTGATTAGAACCAAAACCCCTTTATAATTTTGTTTTGAATATTGGCGGTATTCAAGTCAATATTGAATACAAGCAAGTATAAGTGCTATCCCAGCAATTATTTCTTATGTATGATTTCAGGCCCTCTGGTGCTAACACATGCTCCCAGTAATGCTGACCTGCATCTCAAGAGTGCTATTTGGAAGTAGATTACGATAAACAAGAAAGAGTCACGTTTATTCTAGAATAATACAGTCCTCCTCATATAGCGCAATACAGTATCATGCAGAGATCCTTCAGCTAGCACCAGATGAGGTAGTCTCAGGTAGTAGTAGTAATAAAGCTGTGTAAGCAGAGTACATTGGCCAGGGTAATTATTAGGGCTGCGCGAAGCTTCAGTTGCTGATTCAATTTGGTGGAGATTCGGCAGCTGAATCTTCGAATCCAAATCGAATCAGGAGACCCTTTAATCTCTCCGAATCAAATCAGAGAGATGCAATGATTTGGACATAGACACAACTTTAAATGTTTTTTCTACATACCTCAAGGTACCACCCGGCTCGCAAATGCTGAAGTGGTGGGGCGGATGGAGCGTCCATAGGAGCGCGGGGAGGTCCCTAGCGCTCTCAGCGGTGGATCCAGGAGTGGAGCAGAAGCACTTCTTGGTCCACTTCCAGGTCTGCTGTAGAGAGCGCAGGGGGCCTGCCACCCAGCTCGGCAACTGGTGCCGCCTCGGTCTGGGGGGGGGCACCCAGGGTGCCCCCTCGGCCAATCACCGAGCCAGGGGAGTGCAGTGGGTGTCCCCTGTGCGCTCAGCAGTGGACCCAGAAGCTGCCACCGAGCACATGGAGGGGCCCTGCCCCGTGCTCCTGTGGGATGCTCCATCTGCCCCACCATCTCAGCATTCACAAGCCACACCTGGTAACTCAAGGGATGTAGAAAAAACATTTAAAGCTGTGTCTATGGCTGAATTGCTGATTTGCCGAATCAAATCAAGACAGTGGTCTGAATCAACTAAGTAATTATCCTAGTAGATTTGTTCAGAGCTAGCATGGGTTTGGAGCCATGCAGACCAGGAGTTTGCAGCCTTTTTATGCTGTGAACTGGGAAACTCACTGAAATAATTTTGCTGCAAATGATCTAATTTACATATTGGCTTTACGTATTTAAATTTGCATATATAGATATATATTTATACAGATATCTATATATATATATTTCTATTTATTTATTTATTGGGGGGGGGAGTTGCAAGAGCAGCTGGGTCTGCCTGGAAAGTAGGATGTGGGGGAAGGGGCATGGGGTGGTAGATCGAGGCCTCAGTGGTGGGGGAGGGAGTGAGGCTGGGGCAGCGGCAGGGACTGCCCTGCTGGGGCGGAGTACCAGACTGAGCTACACGGGGGGTGGCTCCCCAAAATTCCCAGGCTCCTTACAGTGGTTCCTTCCCCCTCAGCAGCTGCAGCCTTGGCTTTCACCCCAACCAGGGCAGCTGTGTCCCCCAGGCAGTCCCGGCACTGGATTCCTCTTCCCTACCACTGTTCAGAGCAGCTCTTTGGCTGCCCTGAGCAATCCTGCAGGGACTTGCTGCTGGGTCCCTGCACGGAGTGGGGAGGTGATGCTGCCAAGTTTCTTGCTCCGGCCCCAGCCCGCCTCACCTCCCGCGGATCCGGGGGCACGCGTCCCCCCACCCCCACCATGCCGTCCTGGGCACAATGCACACAGCTGCAGGAGCTGCCCATGCCTCCCAGACGAGTTGTGGCTGCATCCTGCACTTGCCCTTGCCTCAGCAGCCCCACTCCCTCCCTCACTGAGGAGGTCTACAGGAGCGGGGCTAGTGCCACGGCTCAGCAGCCAACCCTTCACGGCCTGGTACCAGGCTGTGGCCCAGTGGTTAGGAAACTCTGATGTAGACATGGTCAAGTATCCATATTATTGTGAGACATTTTAGAATAGCTTTTCTGAGCAGTTGGGAAAAGGTATTCAATCTCAATGTTTGATAATACATGTTTATACTGATACTTCAGGACTTCATATTACAGAGAGTATGATCCCAAAACACCGATGGATTCATTAAAATGAAGAAGTTGGAGAAATCCAGATGTATATACAGAAAGTAATTTAGCTTTTGTATGTAATTTGGCAAATATATTAATAAATATACATACAAAGTTTACTTTTTCCTTTAGAAGGAGTCGCATACACTGTTGCAATTATAAAACCTGATGCTGTTACTGATGAAAGAGTGGAAGAAGTTAAACAAAAGGTAAACAAAACGAAATATGATGCTTGTTTCATTTAAGTTCCAAGGTAGTGTGATGGGAGACTACATGGATACTAATTGAGCAATCTATCCTATTAACATACAAATGTTGTAAAAGTGCATGAGTGCCTACAGGTAGTTAAGTAATATTTTCATATTCATTAGGAATGGTTGTGTATCTGTCACCACCAGTCTTGGGCTAGTAGAATTAGTACAAATTGCATTATTTACTAGTAGACTTTTAATAAATGTACATATTGAATAACATTACATTTTATAAGACATTCACTTATTTTAGCAAGAGCCGTACACTGGAACCTAGGCAAGTGCTGGGGTTAATGAAGAAGATACATTTGTGATATTTCATCTTGCTTCCAAAACTAGTCATTTTTTAGATTTATGGTAAGAATTTATAGCAAAGTAATAGTACTAATTTTAACATGTTTTCCTCAAATTTTACCAAACCGGATGTCTGATCTGTAATTACAGATTATAGAAGCAGGCTTTGGTATTGCAGCAGCAGAGGAGAAGATTCTAACTGAGGAGCAAATTAGAGAGTTCTACAGTCATAAGACAGAACAGGTAAAAAGTTTACACAAATACAGGCAGCTGTATTTATAGTAATGTCCGTATGGCATGTAAAATGTTAATGCAATATGATTACTTCCAGTGGAAAAAGATTATTCATTACAGAGAGAGAAAATAAAGAGATCATCTCACCTCTCACTAGTTCTTCAAAACAACTCCTGCACCGTGTCTCTGATTGATGGCATTCTAATTTAAGTAGCAGTACTGTCATTGTTTATTATTTATATTACCATAGTATGTAAGTCCCCTAGTCATAGACCAATACCTCATTGTGCTAGGCATTGTTCAAACACAGAACAAAATGCTAGTCTGTGCCCCAAATAGTTTACTGTACACATATAAAACAGGGGCATAATGGGATACAAAAAAATGGGGATGACAAAGAAATAGTGAAACAGTTAGCACTGTAAGAAATAGTCTCGGTATGCTAGTAGTTTAACAAATATCTTGTGATTTATAGACATTGCGGTGAATGAGAAATCTGAACAAGCACTTGAAGAACGGGATGCCTCTGTGATATATATGAGTAGTAATATAATATGCTTGGAATTATAAACTGAGTGGAGTAAGGACTCTTTCAATACTTAATTAGAAATGACATATGGGAGGGTTAGGTTACAAAGAGACTTGGGAGAAAAGGCAGATAACTTAAGTGTGATACTACAGCGAAGGGGAACCAATGGTGGTATGCAGAGAGAGAGATGACATTGTCAAAGCAGCAGGCTAGGAAAATGCTCTTCTCAATAGCATTCTCAAATGGCGTTTGTCAGGATCAGAGAAAAAATATGCTTGATTAATTGAGATATCAAATAATGAGATTCTGGTTAACATCTTTGCTGTGAGGATGGGCAGGCAAAGTCATACGTTAAAGGTGTCCTAAATAAAAAATCTGTAAGAATTGCACATGACCTGGAAGTAGGAACCTTGAGAGATCAGAGTCAAAGATGGCACCCAGGTTTGTCAGCCTGACAAATGAGATGATACTGTTGTCCGCAGAGACCTGAAAAGAAGAGAGAAAAGAAAGCAAGTAGGTGTGGGGAGGAAAGATTTATAACTTTGTTTTAGCCCTGTACAATTGATACCTTTTTCAGACATCTACAAAGGGCAAGATTCTAGATTGAACAGAAGAGAACAGGTCTGGAAATGGGAAGTAGATCTTCAAGTTGTCTGCATGCTGATAGCAGGTGAATTTGTGTCTGGATGAGATGACTAAGCTGAAGATGAAGAGAAGAGAACCAAAAAAAGATTAAGAGACATAGCACTTGGTACAAACTGCAGTATTAGAGGTGCATTTTCCCTGACAGCCAATGCTGAAACAGAAAACTAACACCAAAAATTAATTCACAAGGGTCCAAGAATTGGGAAATCAGTTATTTCTTCTTCACTGTCATTAACATATAATTCTACTGTGATGAGCAGAGTGGATTTCCCCTAGTAAAAGAGGGTCTCTGGACTGAGCAATTCCCACCCCAGTACAGCCAATGCCAGACCTGAAAAGGGAGAAGAAGCAGAGATAACCTGCCTCAGGCAAAGAAGAACCAGCAAATGAGATAGCTGTATTGACATGATAAGAATGAAGTAGCAAAAACTATCTTGAAAAATGATTGGGTAAAAATGGCATTGACACTCTTTTAGATTAGAAATCTGTTTTAAAGTCATGGTTCTGGGCTTCATTTACTACTCTGCAATCCTGTTTAATGTTGTTAGGATATATAGGTGTAACCAAAGACAGAAGCTGAAGATAATAGAATTGCCTTGGTATAACTAAATACAGAAACTGATCTCTAGAATCTATGTAATCACAAAGAATAACGAGACAAAGAACCTGGCTGGACTGTCAAATGCACTATTATATTTGTAAGCCTGGTAGTTAGATAAAACAGACTTTTCAATCAAGTTTTACTTTTGAAATCACTGAGTAAACATTGAATCAATATTCAACAGCATCATTACGGTCTCAGTATGTATTGTATTGTACCATTCTGTTCACTTCTAATTCTTTTTATGTATATACCATGCAAACCTCTGTATTCTAAATAATTTATTTTGAGAGAAAATTATTTGTAGACTTGCAAAGCTTTACTATACTTTCAAAAAATCAAACAGATACAGGGATGTCTAGAGATAGAATAATAGAGAGAAACTACATTGAAAACCATCACAATTCAACTAAATATTTCTTGCATATTATCCAATCAGAAATAAATGGAAAAAATATTGTTTGATCCCAGGTGGGAGTTGTTGGCAGGGAAAAAATCCATGCTTGTTAAAGCAAAGAGAGAGGCTTTGAACAAAGATTGTCAATAGGGAAGTAAATAAGTAACTTAGATTCATAAAATGAATTCCATTACCTATACACAAAAATGGGTCCAACTTATGGATAGACATAGGGAGGTAGCTTTTCCTAAACAACTTCCATTGGAATGAAGACCATGAAGGAGGAAAAAAGAATAGAAAAGAAATGCTTGAGAAAGTTCTGAATAACCCAAGAACACTTTGGTGCTGTAGCCTATGCATACTATTTTTGAAGTTTTCTAAATACGGAATGAAAAGGCAATATATTTTTTTACATTATATCATGTACTGTTGTCCATTTAACTACACACATCACATTTAGTCGCAACTGCTGTCCAAAATATTTTCTGTACTCAGTTAATGGGTTGGAAAAACACATGGCACAAAAGTTGTGCATTGTACCATAATTTCCATTATGTCATGATCTTATGATGGTGGCTATAATGGGACTAAAACAACCTTATTCTGTTTCATGGGATTTTGTATGTAAATACTGTTGTAAGATACAAGTGAGCTATTTAGTATAGTTTGATTTCTGATAGTGAAGCCAAAGTTCTGTTTGTACTTCATAGCTAAGAAATTGTATTTTTTTAGCCTGATTTTGAAGATTTTGTTCAGTTCATGATGAGTGGACCATGCCATATTCTGATAGTTTGTCAAAAGCAAGCAGCTGATGATAATATTCCTAACTGGAAAGAGCTAAGTGAATCAGATGAGAATCTACTTGAAGAGTCTGAGTCCCAAAAGCTAAGCAGGTAACTGAAAAAAATCAGATCACACTGTTGTGTTTCATTCTGTTATGTGATTACTAAATGATGACTCTTACAGAGATTCACATTGTGAAATTCCTTTATATGCATAGGTTTTCATCTGTATTGGATAATAAAAGTCTTCTTACATGTTACATATAGGAGTCCACCACAGCTGCAGTCCCAGCACTTGTAGGGGTACAGGAACTCTCCCCTCAGCATTTCCTGAGAGAAGAGAATAACTAGGGCACTCCCTGAACTAGTCTGCAGAGTAGGCTGGCTGTACAGAGGGAGCACAGATACACCTAAGAGGTGTGGTAACCTGCACAGTCACATTCCTGGACACAAAGATGATTCATTTTAACTAATGTGTGTTTCACCTTTGGACCAGTCATTGTAGTCTGCTAAACAATACAATAAAGTCTAGATAATCTGAAAACTGAAGCTCTTTAAGCATCTGAAAATCAGCATACAAATCTAATATTTGTTCTGCACAAGGAAGAACTCAAAGAATTCTGAAGTGCGTAAAGTGTCACTCAGCTAGAGTGCCTTGCCAAAAATCTTGGAGATTTGAATGAAGAGACAAATTTAGGCAAAGAGACTTATTGAACACAGTATTAATTTAAATATTATTTCAAAAAACACCAGTTGTTATCATTTGTCTTTTCATTTACAAATGTAGTACCCTTCCCTGGATTCATTTCTTGTACCCCAATACTATATTAGTTTTAAGAACTACATAGTGAACACATAGATAGCTGGATAATTCTCAACTATAAACATGTGACAGTTAAAATGCATTCCTTTTACAAGGAGTTCTATAGTGATGTGATTTCAGAGATTATGCTTTTACAAACCATAAAATTGTCAGTATCATTTTTTGTTCACTGACACACGTAAGGGGATCTTTAAAGGCAGACAAATGGAAGCTTTACTAAACTATAAAAAGTTGAAAACTAGTTGAAAAGCTATATTTTCAACAGGCCAATTAGAGATGCATTCATATAAAAAATGTAGATATAGTCATTTAGATTTATTATTTTTCTCTTATTAGGTTGGGAGAAGTCTTGGAAAATGAAAATATGTTAAATGTATGTGATGTCCAAGACAGCATAGAAGAGGCTAGTAGGCAACTTGCCTTCTTTTTCCCAAATTTTGGTAAAAAGAAGACAGGCCAAAATGCTGAAAGAACATTGGCTTTAATTAGACCTTCTCTCTTAAAGGAAAATAAAAGTAAGTGATGATAAATACATTTTCCATTTGCAGTAATAAAGCCATTTGATTTTAACTTTAAAAAGCCTAATATCTTTTAATCCGATGTTTTTGTATTATTTTCTAGGTTCAGTATTGACAGTGCTGCTTATTAGAAAAATATGATGTGTTCATTCCATTCTACCTTTACAGGCTTTTGTGTGAATACTATTTTATTTCTTAGACTATTTCTTCAAAAATTGCCTTGGGGATATAATTCTGGTTATGCGCCTTCTAGAAAATCAGTAAGATAGGTTTATTGCATTTAAAATCTATTTAAATAAGTTTTATTTTCTCCTAGAACAGTTTAGCTGGTATCTCTAACCTTCAGTGATTGAGCACTCAGTGTTCCAGGTCCAAGGCAGCTTTTTTTGGCAAGTCTGAATAATATTTGACACAGATTTTCAGGACTGCTGCTTGAAAATCCTTTTAGGCATTTTCATGGTATTATTCTCTTGATCTAAAATCTAGTCCTGATATATATTGTTTAAGAATAGTTCTGCACATTTCCAGGACCTGATTCTACCACCTTTATTCATGTAAACAGTGCTTATTGTGAAACTTAGTGTCATAGAACTAAATTGTAGGTAAGACCTATTATCAGTCTTCCTTTTTGATTGTTGTAATGCTCATTAATCTTTTGGAACACTATTTTTTCGAATACAAGACAACTTTGAATTTAAAATCACCTTCCAATAGTTAGATTCTATACATTGACAATTTATAAATTTGTTATAATTTTCCATGTATAGAATTTCTTTACTGCAGAGTCATCTTAAATTTTTCCCTGTCCTTCTTGCTGCTATATCAGAGAAAGCAGCAGAGGGATGGGACAGGCTGCAGGGGGGTGGGGGCCAAGCAAGCAGCCTGACCCCATCCCTTGCCTCTCCCCACTTGTCTCCCCTGCAGCCTGCTCCCCCCCCACCTATTTCCCCTCCCCTACTGCCCTCACAGCTTCTCCCCCTCCCCCCCGCCCCAGCCACAGCTTTTGCTCACTCAGTCTATGCCCTCCCACCTGCCTCCTGCAGCCTCTGCCTGCCCCCTGTCCCCTTTGCAGCCTCTAACTAGTCCCTCCATCCCCCTACTGCACAGGGTAGCTGCAGCACCAGCTGTAGTTCCACAGATCTATATCCCACCTTTTCCTACTTCTTTTCTGATTATTTTATTGAAGTGAGAACCAGTGTAAGGTCGGTATGAGCTGTCTTCTTTTATGTACCCAGTCTCCAAGACCAGTTCTATATCTTTAGCAATATCATTGCCTCCAGCAAACTCATTGAAACTGCCCAAGTAAATAATAATTTTACTTGATACAGTAATAATAAATGACAAATATAGCTTATTTATAGATATATTAGACATTTCTGTCTGAGTCACAGTTAACTTCTCGCCTTTGGCTAAAAACAAACAGTCCCTGTTTCTCTGATAAGAATAACTTGGATACTGTAGCAGTAATTCTGTTTCTGGACACAGTTAGCAAGCACACTTAAAGTTACAGTGTGCCAAACCCACACTGGCTGTAAGAAAAGCAGTTTCAGGTTTCATGAAAAATAACAATAACATTAAAATGAAAAGCTGCTGTAATTAAGAACTCCTATGTTTTTCATGTTATCCTTTACAATAAGTAAATAAAGTTAAGATTAATATTTTCCCACTAGGGTATATTAAATTAGGTACCAAAATCATGACCTAGATATCCTCAGGATGGTCTCCCTTGTGTCTGCCAGCCTATCTTCTTAAGACGGTTTGCATATGGGAAGTTTTTTAAGCAAGGCTGATTACCAAATTACCTACACATAAGCAATGTAGTTTTTCTAGGTGTTATAGGTGGTGGTATCATCAGACCCTCATTTAAAGTCTGATTTAAAGAAGGTTAAATCTATACACTTCTGAGATTTCTGGCATTGCTTCTTTTTAGAAGGATTACCTATAATAAGCATGCCTCACGTCTTCAGGTGTTCAAGCAACAGTTATTAGGATCATAAAAATGTTGCTACAAATTATAGTTCTTGATAGTCCACTGTTAAGCTAATTATTTTGAAGGGAAAAATTGTTACCAATATGACTGGAAAAGCCCTGTTAGATTTTTTTCCCCATATGTATAAAATGAAAAAAAAAAAATCTCAGGACAGAAATACTTCCTTTTTTAATAACTAGGTACTGTTCTGCAAAGGATTAAGGATGATGGCTTTACAATTGTAATGCAGAGAGAAGTAGTTTTAACAGAAGAACAAGCACGAGAGTTTTACAAAGAGCATGAAAACGAAGATTATTTCCCAACACTTCTAGAACAAATGACCAGGTATTCTTTGAAAAGCAACAAATTTGAACATTCACAGGTACATTAGATAAAGAGAAAGATTATACAGATTGATTAGATAGATACCCTACATATCTAAATGAAGTATAAGGAAGCCACTGTCAGAACTCCCATTGACTTCAGTGAGGCTGTCATTTCATGTCAGTAAATCTACAGCTTACCTTACCTTAAATATTCGGTATTTTTTTCCATTTAAATTACCTTCACTTGCTGACAAAAAAAATGTAATGTTTCACTAGAACTTCACCTGTTCAAGTGACAATTGGATTCAAAATCTCTGATATCAAAGTCCTTTTTCCCCTCACAAATTTGAATCCTTTCATAAATCATAATTTAAGGTTTTTAAGAGGCTTTATAACATTAATCTTCTTACTTCACAGTGGTCCAACTCTTGCTCTTGCATTAGTACGAGAAAATGCTGTACAACGCTGGAGAGATCTGCTTGGCCCAAAGACTCTTGAAGAAGCTAAGGAGAAGTGTCCAACCAGGTAATATTTGTAATAGCTATACATTATTCATAATATACAAAATATGCAAAACATTATGCATGTAAAATCCATCTAAATGAATACTACATAGTAAATAGTGTAACTATAGTGCCATCATCTGGAAAGTCAGTTCTTTCTACAAATTGTTACAATTTTCTTGGATTATAGATTATAATGTATACAGGAACAACTAGATTTTTTTTAAAACCTAGCTAATAAATATTGCTGAAAGTTTAGTAAAATTTGTACTTTGGGGTGTTTTGAAGAAAACAAAGGGATTGTTTGTACCATAGGAATGGATGGCATTTCCTGGGTCACTGAATCCAGTCATCTGTGTTTGCAGGCAGGCATTGTTCAAACATTACTAAAAATTGCCCTTTCAAACTTCAAGCATCACAGCTAAAAGGCACAAAACTCAAAGCTCTAAGAACATCCTACCAGCCTCAGGTAAAAGCAGAGACAGGGCACAGCCAAATGGTGGAGAAGTAATTGGTTAACTTAGAGAATTACAGGAAAAAAACACATTCTACCTTGAAGAGGAAGGCAAAACCTTTGCAGTCCTTACCAGTCTGACCTAGGGGAGAAATTCATTTCTGGCCCCAAATGTGATGTTTGGTTTGACCATGAGCAGGGAAGCAAGATGATAGACCTGATTAATTTCTATAATTTGCAGAATTAGCTGATGATTATTTTCTGTGAGAGTGAATTATTTGATATTACTTTAGTACTCTTACTCAGATGATATATGTGTTTAAAATAGTTTCATTTATTCTCTTTGTAGAATAGATTCCAGTGTTCTAATAATATTTGGGTAACTTTTGTGTCAGTACAGTGATTATTTATGAACACATTTCTATTTTTGTAAACAAATAAATATGCTGACTTTACCTATTTAGGATAAGATTTATAATGTTGAATAGTTGTAGTAGTATCAATATTTGACATCTATTACACTATCATTGTTCATCGTTAGGTAAAACCTTATTAGCTTTTCACCTTATGGGAGTTAGTGAACAGTTTAATGATTTCAGTAAGGATTTATAGTTGAAATTAGATAAAACTGCAGTAAATCTTTAAAGTCCAATGACTTAGTTAAACAGGATCAAAAATATTCCACAGTGAGAAGTTGACTACTTTCTGATAATAGCAGAAAACTTAAGGTAGAACTTTCAAAAGTTCCTCCTAAATCTGTTGAAAGCCAAAATATTAATTTAAAATGTATAGATTCATCTCAAAGGTTTTGTGAGTACCCATTCCATCTTCATTGTCCACCTCAAAAAATAATATAAGTTTGGGTGATTCCCAGGGTTAGAATTAATCCAGTGTACATTTTCAGACTGCTACATCATTGAATTTCTTTGCTGTCTTAATTGCTAGTTTACGTGCAGAGTATGCAATAGACAATGTACCTCTCAATCAGCTGCATGGCAGCTCTTCACCTGATCAGGCTCAGAAGGAATTAGATTTCTTCTTCCCTATGGAACACACTTTGGCAGTAATAAAACCCTCTGCTCTTAAGGAACATAAAGGTAAACTTTCCAAAACATGTAGAACATGCTTGCGCTTTTCATTCCTGAAAAATATTATCAATGTATAATTTGGAATAAACTGTATCAAATGCATTCTTTTTTATTTCCTAAATACTTTCACTGTGCTTAGTCCCATTCTGCAGGGGTTAGTAAATGCTGAAGCGGGTTTATAATGGCTATTTTATTAGCAAAATATTCTGTGGTTCCTTCTCACTTCATGGAGCTGGTGGGGAGCTAGACCAGGATCAAAATGTCTTTGTGCCTCAAGTTGGGTATTGCCTTATCTAATTTTTGAGCATCTGCCCCGGGAGGGCAATTCAGAATGACTCAGTTAAGCATCAAGGATCTCCCTACAGTTAAATGCAAGACTTTAAAGGTGCCTAAATAACTTTCATAGGCAATGAGGAGATTTGGCATCTCCAAAGGATGATTCAGAGATCCTGGGCCTATAGAGAGCCAATAGGAAGTTTGTTTTTACTGCCCAACTTATTAGGCACCTGGATAACAGTGTCCATTAAGCATCTCTGCTAACTTGCCATTTACATCTAGTGCCACTTCTGAGATAGCCATGTAATGGATTTCTGAAGAGAAGCTTTCGGAGAAGCCTAACTTTTGCCCAAAAGCTTAATGGCTAGAGTACTCAGAAGTGGGTCACCTGGATTCTAGGTCCCATTCATCATGATTAAATCAGGGGTGTCAAAGATACAGTTTGTAGGCCAGATTTGACCTGTGGAGCTCTATGATTCAGCCTGCAGTGCAGGACTGGTCTGGCCCAGAGTCCTGCCAGCCTTATGTGCTGCGTGTAGTGCACATGCTAATTGCAACCACATGCACACAGTCTGTGCCACATTATCGTGTTGCACTGCATGCAGCGTACAGGGCTAAGGCATGGACTTTGTGGCAGTCATGGGGGGGTGGGGGTCATGTACTGCCTGCACCAAATTGGCCCTGTGCACTGGATCCCTGTGTACTCGGTTTGGCCCACAGGTTGGCCCTGCACCCTTCATCCACTACGAGGGGCCAGATGAGTTTGATACCTCTGATTTTAAACCCACCTCCCATTTCCTAGCCCTAGCTATTCAACAAGCTGTGAGGACATTGCCCACCTCTCTTGTGGAAACTGGGCCACTAGGAAATCAAATGTATAAGAGTCCCGAGGACTAAAGGAGAAAAAGCAAGAGAGAGTCTGTCCCTGTAGGCTAGTGGTTACAGCACTCCCTGGGAGGAGGATAATCCTAAATTTTCATCCCTGCTGCTAAGATTCGGTGCTTTTGCCACTGGACAGGTTAAAAAAACTTAAATAAACCTGGCAATAGAAATGGAACTCTTCTCCAAGTTGCGGTCGTAGAGGAGGGCCACCATCATCACCACTGGTTTTGAACTAAATTTAGTACTTCTTGTGTTAGGGTGGGGATTTCTGCCTATTAACAAAGGCCTTTTCCAGAAACATAAGTGTAATTTAGTTGCCTGGGCTCCTAATGGGTTTTATGACTGCTTTATAATAATAGCTGCCGTGGTTATTTGATTTTAAATTACCCCATTGTCTTTGACTCTCTCTTTTCCTTGTTTGGAATAGTCCATAAATATCTTACCAGGTCAACTGATGTGTGCAATGTCACATTCTAAGTATCCAATCAGAAATAACAATATGTATTTTCATGTTCTTGATAAAAGTAATTTAGACTTTTTTTGTCACTTCTATGGAAATGGATTATGACATTTAAATTAAAATAATTTATTGTTGGTTTTAGAATATGTTAATCCATTCACCATATTGCTTATGATTTAAGATTTTTCCAGGTTATAATTTCTATATATACTTTAAAGAATAACTATTTCAAATAATAAAAAGATTGTTTTCTTCCTAGATGACATAATTCGAGAAGTTACAAATGCTGGATTTATTGTATCGAAGATGAAGGAAACATGTTTTACTCATGAAATGGCAGAACAGTTTTATAAAAATCATGAAGGGAAACCTTTTTTTGATCAGTTAGTGAATTGTATGTCTGAGTAAGTGTCTAATTGACAATATCATGCTACACAATGTAGCAGTACAATTTTTGAATTTATAAAGCAAAAAAAAGTTTTTACTACTTTTAGGAAGCAAAGTATAGTAAAATGTAGGGAGGCCCTCAGAAGTCCAGACTACTTTGTCATTTTCTCTGGGAAATGTAGTTCAAATGTCAATAGTTACAAGCTCACTATTTCTTACCTTTTTGGAAGAGTGTTCTTTTTCTGAACTGAATTTACACCTGCAAAAATCTCTGGCTGACAACCTATGAGTTCTGTTAAACTGTGTTGTAACTACTTTTTTTTTTAATTTGTTCTTCAAAAAGAGAGAATCCCAACTGCCACTATGCTTTTTCTTTATGGACCTTAGACCAAATGATTTATCATAGCACATATTATGGTAACTAATGATGAAACTGAAGTTATGGGCTTAGAATAGCTGGAATAGAAGTTCAATAAACTGATTTAATCTAAATCATTTAAATCTGATACTGCATCCATCCAAGCTTATCTAAACCAGTTTCAGCCATTTTGAAAGCAATTTATATTCACTGAACTTCTGTTGTGTTACGGATTTGAATTGTATTCAGATCACTTATACTGGTGTATGTGTAATTTCTGTCCCTAAAAGGTCATACAGAGACACGCACGGAAATGTGACTATCTTGTTATGCTGTGTGTATGTTGGAGTCTTTTGATAACGTCCATCCCCAAACCCACACAGCTCATTTTCACCTACCTCCAAGGTCAAACAAATGATTCCTGACGTAAAAAAGAAACTGTTTTCCCAGGAGTTAAATTCAGCCCACTATTCAGCACAGAAATCAGTATTATAGTCTGCTTTGTAGTTCCAAAAGTCTAAATTTGCTCATGATCTTTAAATATCTTAATTTTTTACAGAGGTCCATCAATGGTAATGATCCTATCTAAGGAAAATGCTGTGGAGGAGTGGAGGCAATTAATGGGTCCAGCTGATCCAGAAGCGGCAAAAATGTGTTCTCCCAATTCAATTCGAGCACAGTTTGCACAAGATATTTTGCGTAATGCAGTTCATGGATCATCCAATAAGGAACATGCATTGAAGAGCATTGAATATGTATTTGGAGAAATTAATTTGGAAAGCCTAAGTCACAAATAAGATACAGTTTAACAGTTAAAATTTATACCATAAGACAGTTATTTCCAGATATATATCTGTGTTTATGCTATATAAAAGGCACTAATAAAATTATTTCTCCTTATTAAAATATTTTGTTACCAAGTAGTAACATTAGAGGGCACAAATAAAATATTTATTAGACTATTAATATTGGTAACGATTGTAATGGTTATTTTTGAGAAATAATCTTCATTATAGCCCTTTAATTAATAGGCTTGCAGCTTTCTAAAATGTATACATAAGGACAGAAATTTGCAATGTAATCTTTGTCAGAGGTGATTTCCTCTTTCACTGAATGCATATTTTGTATCTATTGATAGAGCAGGTATAGTGTGAACTATCATTTGAGCTTGAGAAATTACAGGAATAATTTTAGTGCTGCCTGTTGCAAGTTCCCTTTTTGTGAACCTCCTCATCTATTTATGAGTATAGGCATGAAAATATTAAGTTTAGTGGTTAATGTTTTCACTCAGTTCATTTAATAGGGATACTGGGTAAAATAGAATTAGTACCTTCATGAGATGATGTTTTTAGGAATTTAGGTAGTAAAGGGCAGATAATATATAAAATGACTAAAGTCTTTGCTATACCTGTACAAGGTAAGAGAATGGCAAGAAGCTGATTTTGGTTTCTCATTTAAATTTTCCCAGAGTTGGTCAGACTGGAATGCAGCAAGTTTACACAACTTTCTGGGGGGGTTTCTAAATTCTTATAGTTGTGTAAATCAACATCAAGTTGTGGCCCTATCCGTGTGCTGGAAAATATGCCTGTAAACTGGATTGTGAATGAGTGTTGATAGTTCTCTTAAAATACATGGGAAAGGAATCAAAATTTTCATTAAAAAAAAATTCCAGTTTTGTGTCTTGAGCTCATGACTCTGTGTCCTGAGCCCTAGGAATTACATTTCTGTTCATCTACGTATATTCCTTGAGAAATAAATATAATTTAAAAATCATATATATAATTAAAAAGCAGGCACAGATGGTTGGGGAGAATACCTGTTCTCACAAACTGAAATACAAGGGAATAGTCTGTTCAATTATGCTAAATATTCTTTCATCTCAATATGTCATGCTTCTTCTTTCACAGACTAGACTCTGTCCGTCTATTAACATTCCTCCAACATGGTAATTAAAATGCATAATACAAATTTCTCATGACTTCTATACTATACCACAAAATCTTAACACTGACCTCTGACCTCAATATGCTTGTCTGTCAATTACTATGATTCTGGAGAGCAAGGAATTTGAAGCTCAAAGTTCATGCAGTAGCCTTTAAAACATACATTATTTGGGCACCACAAAGCTAGTGGATCCAAAGCATGTTGCAGTGGAAGGCAGTGTTCAAGAAAGGAGCACGATATTGTTGGCTACAAAGAACCAACTCACGGGACCATAATAAATTCTGGTTTATTGGATAGGATGTGAAGTTACCAATAAAATCATAAATGCAAACTTTGATTTATGGGTGGTACTGGTCACCTTAGTGCACACATACGTGCACTCACTCGTTTAAACCTATGTAGTATAGTGTATAGTAGCTGCTGTGGTGATTGTGAGAGCACTGGTGTCAGTATATCTATCTATCTGAGGCCCTAGAGTCTGCCATTGATGGTCAGCTTCCTTCAAGACGATGTCTTCTCCGGAAGGGGTTCGCCTGCTTGTCCTTCTGTCTCGGTAAGTCAGGTGCTGGATGAGAGAGCACCACTGAGGGTCATGCTTCACTGCCTTTTATCCCTTTCTGGCAGACTTGTGTGATACTTCAGCATCATCTTGGCTGTCCAATCCGGAGGTCGTGGTCCCACATGGGTTTTGAGTAGTACATGACAGCTGTTAGTCACTCATTCATTCAAGGAACTGCACAATATAGCAGATTTTATCACTTTACAATTACAATTTCAATGCAGTTTTTAACAGTGGTCCAGGGTATAACTTCATTCTACAGGGAGTACATTCCTTAATGTTTTAAAAGTATAAATATCAAATACAAAATGCCATGGTAAAGATGAGACAGATAAAATATAAAAATGCACCATGAGAAATGTATAAAAATGCAATGTTAGGTAGCGAGGATAAAAGGTTACTGGGGACTGTAAATGAGTTAGGTTAGTACCAAGATATATTTACAGTCGTTGAAGTAGATATTTTAGTTCTTTTGTTTTCTTTAGTGACACTGAGCTTAAATGGGGTAGATGTAGCTTATAGGTTTCTCCTACAGAAAGCCACTTCAAGCTTCCTGGCTTGCTCTGAGCCTTGCCACACCCAGGAAATGTGTGCGCTAGGTCTCTGCCAATACTTAGAAGGAAAAAGAAATGCAAAAAATGGGGGTAGAGGGGGTGCAGGCAAGAAGGGGCTTCTGTTATATCAATGTTCAGAAGCAGAATGTACAAAGGGGGCTTTCTGCTACAATATTGCCAGCTGGAAATATATGGATTCATCATATTTCCTTCTCTTTGTCAATAGTGTGCCCTGTTCTGGAAAGGAATCCTTTTTGGATGCTGGGGCCACAGTTTGCACATGAATACACACACAACTATACATATGCACACTCATTCTTTGTCTCCATGTGGGGGATCAAGCCCATTACACTGTGTTTTTGCTCAGTTACACTGAAATAAATATTAAGTGGAAGCAGAATTTGCTATTATAGCACTAAACCTTTGGAAAGGATTATTTTATGACAATACAGATATGATTAATAATGTGAAATAGATATATAGGTATTCACATGTGTGGATCTTCTTTAGCTATTGGAAAGCTGCTAACAAAATAATGACTGTTTGATATATCTCATACAAAGGCTTTGAATGCTGTAGTATATTTTATCGCCCCTGTCTCAGAAGTTTCAGTGAGCTGTAGCTGTTTCATAGATCTGCCTGGTTAAGTGTGATGTAATTTTATTTACTATGCTATTATTTGCTTAACCTTGATACTTTTAAAGGCCATTACATCACTCATGGCCTCATAATTCAGATATACCCAATCTGTTCTGAAGAAAAATGTGGCTACTTTTTTCCAATAGGAGATTTTAAAACTGTAGCTGTGCATGGATTGCACTACTTGTGGCCTATGTTCTTTAACACTTCTGAACAAGATTTTGTGTGTTTAATTAAGATGCCAGTTGTTTTACCATCCCTGTGGAGAAGATTATAAGGTTCTTATTGCTGAAATGTTATAATTAGGTCTATAAAGCTTATTTATGTATGTTGTCCAAATATTATGAATATAAAACTGAACTGTGAAAACACATGCCATTTATTACAGCTATTTACCTTGATTAATTATCTTCTTGGACTTGTCTTCTTTTAGCAATTAAGACCTTACTTCTATATAAAAGAGAATGTAATTTTGGTGACAGTTGATTACTTAAACATTGTGTAGTTCTGTATAGATTAAGATGTTGCAAAGATTTGTTATAAAGAACTAGAAGTTGTACCAGAAATGGCAAATGAGAAAATTATGAGCAACATATATCAATTTTTGCTTGTAGTATGAGACAAACAGTACCACAGAGTAAATATTCATCTGTTCATCAAACATGTACATATTTTGTTGTTTACAACTCTTATGAAATGTTAATCAAAGATTAAGAATATATCAAAATCTCTTGCAATAATATAGGCAACTGAGATTTTTAAAACCTCAAAATAGCAACTATTTTAATAGAATTGCAATAGATTATGGTAAAGAAAGAAAACTATATACAGCATAGAAAATAATGGCAGTTGTGTTAATAAAATAAAAATATTACCAAACAGATTGTCAAGTTAAGCCTAACTGTACCAGTTGAGACCATACATAGTATAGTAGCTTGGCCTCTTCACAACTAGTTACAATCCTTTTGAAACAGCCAGGGAATTAGTTTTTAAGATTACACTATAAATAAACTAATTTTCTTTGGAATAAAGGTATTTTCCCTTTGTGAGATGGCTTGTAGGATATTTATTGACTTTTCTTGACCATTTATAATAAAATATATCACTATCAAAACAAAGAGATGCATCTTGAAATGCGTTTCTCCCCTTACCAAAGGGAAGATGTATTTTAGCTGGATTGTTGCCAAATATCAGTGAATATGTTTGCTACCTAATATGTGCTCAAGTATCTCACACACTGAGTGTTTCAAAAGAACTTTTAAAAAGCCAAATCCAGTAGCATGAAATGAAATATGTTTGATAGGTCACTGTGATGTGATGAAAGGAGAGATATGAACTGTTCATAAAATATTAGGTAGCTTGATAAAAAGACATACCAGCAAGTTCTGTGGTCCTGTGCCACTTCATTGGTTTCCTTTGTCTTCTGTCCACCAATCAGGATCATTATCAGCTAAAAATTCAAAGGCATCTATTCCATTTTCCCAGGATTAACTATGACTAAGTAGCTCCCTTTCTCCTGTACTCTGACCTCTTCAGTGCTAGTGGTGGTGCCCTTTCCATGTCATTAAGCTGATGTCTTCATCACAATATAACCATAGCTGGCCTAAATGATTAAGACCAGGACATGCTTGGCCATCTCTTGATTATTGGACGCATCTACACATCGCCCTATGGTAATGTAGCAACATGCTGTCTTCGTACGGTGCACTATGCCAACATAGCAATCACATGGGTCTACATGTGATTGGCAGCTACGTCACTGTAGTGGCACACTCCCACATTTTAGCATACCACTACATGGATGTAGTGGTGAAATCTAACCACGCACAGTGCGCATGGCACAGTATGGGCAGTTAATGCACCATGCTTTAGCACTAACAAAAGGAAGTTCTGAAGTCCAGCACTGTAGCAACATTGCACTATGGCAACGTGTAGATAAAAGCTGGTAGGAGACGTTAGATGGATCCTTTAGGATATATTTGGGATCTGGTCTTAGCATTCTTGTCCAAAAGAGAGACGTTCTCTTTTCCGAATTGTTTCCTTTTGTGGATTTTGCTCCCGGTATAGCCAGACAAAGGAGCTGATAAGAAAAGTCAGACTAAACAAACTTCTCCTAGGACATGTCTTCATGTCTCGCAAGGGTGTTCAGATTCCCATCTCTAACAGAGATCAGATTTCTCACATTTGGTCTTAAAAGCAATTAAAAGAAATTATGAATAAAAGTGCAGTATCAGTATGATATCTGTGATCTTTTCTATAGATACAAGATTTTTCTCAGATCAAACTAATTTCTCCTTTGTGCCAAACTGTATTTATAGATGCGATTCCTATTCATCCATGCAAATTAATTGGATCGGAGATGGCTTTCCTGAAAATCTGTTAGAGGAGTGGTTTTCAAACTGGGGCATGTTTACCTCCAGGGGTACATGACACTTTGCTAAGAAGTATGTACCTAAATTTTAATAATGATGGTAAAGCTTCCAATTGGCCAATGTGTGATGAGTAGTAGCATTGTTGTGTGTTGACACTAGTGAACATGCCAAGATGTGTTGGGTGTAGGAAGTATGAGCAGCAGTATTTTTCAGGTAAAAGAATACGAGGCCAAAAAATCTTGACTGTGTTAATGGAACCATTCTAAGATGTTATTTGCATTTATGTTTGACTGCTAAGCACAATCACATTAAGATTACAGGTCAATTATGTGTAGTTATGGGTAAATATTTTTCAGGTTTCATATTTTTGGAATTCAGGTTACAATGTTGGTTTGAAATAATTTTACAGCAATTTTGGGTTATTTTGTATTTTGAATCTTATTTTAGTTAGTTAACTGGATGATTGAATGAAAAGAACAAAACCAAACAAAATAACAGTGAATTTATTTAGTACAGTGACTCGGTCATTTGGTTCATTTTGCAGACAAGTTCTTAGATTGATATTTGATCCATATGTCCCTCTCTTAGTATACTGATTACTGTACACATGTGGGTGGTAGTAAAAGACTCCCTGGGAATATTTTTCAATATGCCTGTCCACTTTTAATTGTATAGAACTAAAACACTAGACATTCACACAGCAGTAGCTATATAGCCAGAAATTACTACCTGTATCAGTTAGTTTGGCCCACTACTTTTTGTAGCTCTAACGGAGACATATAGAAGATGGCTTCTGTCTATCATCATATAAATTAGCGGGGGGCCAGCCTTCTGAGCAAACATGCCAAAAATTAGCTCAACCCCCTGCCTGAATGCCACTCCAATCCCTTTTCCTTTGCAATCTGTTGCTTTGCTTTTTGCTTCCTGCCTTGTGCTCCCTGTCTGATCTGATGATCTGCTTTCTGTTCCCTGCCCTGTCTGCCAGCGTGCTACCTTTCCCCTCCCCAGTCTGCCACATGCCACACACACAGGCTGCCCATGCCACTTGTGGCACCCATGCCACAGATTGGCCATCTATGGTATAAACTATGAGTCCAAGAAATTGAAACATTGTGCTACTCTGCCTTATTCTGTCAGTAAACTGTGTGTATATGGATTTCTTATATCAATACTCCTAGTAACAGCAAGTAGATAATCTGTTCTAAGTGTGACTGTGGCAATGAATAAACTGTGTAAACCTTGGCCAAGTAACATTTTGTCAGATTTGTGAATTTGCTGTTCCTTAAGGTCTGAACCTGTATTTTGACAACTAAATCAACACTCATAAAATAATGCATAAAATATTACATTATTGCAATATTGCATAAAATAATTACTTAGGTCCTTAACTCCCAGAACTGAATTTTTTGAAAATTGATGTTTAAACTTTTCATAATTCAGTTTCTTGTCTAGCTAATATGGATAATATCATAATACTGCTTACCCCTTTTGTGGAGTATTGCAAGGGAGACACAAACTTGCAGTTTTAAATTATTATGCAGTTCTAAAATAGAAACCATTGTTTTACTGCTAAATATTATTAGTTGCTTCATAAAAATTAGAGATGAAAACAAACATTAGGTCATCCAGTCCAACTCTTATTGTACACAGTTGTTCCTTATGGGATATTATCTGTTGCTTTTTGTAGTGCTGTCCTTCTGTCACAAATATTTTTACCAAAGATATTTCTAATTGTAAGGATTAGGAAAGTGAAATTTTAGTCAACGTTAAAAGTGCATAAGATACACACAAGGGACTATCTAAAGAAAAATACAAAAACACTAGGATCGGTGCATCAACATTTATTCCCATACAGTGGAATGCTGAATGATGGTAATGTACAGTATGAAGGAACGGTGCAAATTCTATGTAGAAATTTTTTTACACTTTAATATCAAAAAAGCTATTGATAAAAGTTTGATTTTAACAGATATAAAATAATATGTTCTGCTGCTATCATTTCTAAATAGCTGTTCCAGCAGTTTCATTCAACAAACAACATACTATATGCTCACAATAAAGCTTGTTAAAGTGAAGTATTAGAATGTCAAAATTTGCCATTTCAACAATGTAACATTAAGACTATTAAAAATCCTTTTTAATAGTTAAACTTATATTAACTTACTTGGTTTTTGTAGGGCTTAATCTGTGAATAGTATGAAAATTTAGAACTCCAATACACAGTAAAATCTTATTTTAGAAGTTTTTATAAAATATTGTAATTTTGCTTTATGTTTATTTGAGTCAACATTTTCAAATTCAGATGTTTAATTTATTACTTATGGTGAAATCCTGCCTTCTTGATGTCAGTGAGAGTTTTGCCATATACTTCATTGGTTCGAGATTTCAGCCATAATCTATATTTAGGCATCTACCTGTTTGACCTGATTTTTCAGAGATGCTGAACACATACAGTTCCCAATGAAATCCATTTAAGTTTTATTTTAAGAGAGTCCACCAAGTGTCTAATGTGGAATTAGGGCTAATTTTATAGATATTCCATAGTAATGTACTCCCATATTTAAACAGCTGATGGCAGGAGTCGGCTAAATTAAGATGCCTATACTTCAACATTATGGCTAGAGTTTGTCATTGCTGCATTTCTATAGGTGTGTCCACATCTATTGTAGGTGGAAACTGCAAACATAAAAGCCTAAAAATGTTAATGAGCCTGCCAGCAAGCAAAGTGAACCTATTGGCATTTTGATGCATGGCTATGGAAATAAATGGTCTAGTTAGGTATTATTTGATTGTCTTGGGCATCTTGCCTTTGTTGTATACTAAATTATACCTAGACAGGGGTTTTTTTTTTCTTTTTGGTTAAGAAGTCTAGTAGCTTTTAGGTGTTGGGTACTCTTGACGTCAAGAGTTCTTAAATTGTCCAACCATAAAGTGGTTTAATATTTTTCAGTATTATATTGCATGTTGTATTACAGCCATCCTTCTGAAATGCATCTATCCTCTTGATTCAGTCATTTAACCAATTTTTTTTCCCCAGGAAATTATGCCTTCTCTTTCAAAATGCTGGTGGTAGTGTTAGAACATTTTGTATTAACAAATTAATGCAACCAATTCTTTCCTTGTATACACACACACAACTCTTATTAGGATTATTTCAGTAATTTAGATCAATATGCTAGTTTTGGCATGATGAAACATGTTATTTAGGTTAACCTTAAAGCTTGCCTGCTTGCTTGTTTGCAGAACAGTGTTTTTGTTGTTATTGTTATTCTTTAAAAACAAAAAATCAGAAATATCAGGAATGTCAAGTCTGATCTGTCTTGGTTTTGCCATAAAAAAATGTGGGTCTCTAAGATGTGTACTGTGAACTCTCATAACTTAACCAGGTCAGGAGTATTGAGCCTTTAACAAGAACATTTTTTCAGCCAAATCTTCATTGTGCAATAGAGTTAAATGGGTATTAACAAACAAAAACTGCCCTACTAGCACTAGGGCAGAAGTGCTAGTAGTGCCAAGAAGTGCCAAGAAGAATGCAAGCAGGAGTAGTATACATTGTAGCTCAGAGTTGTGCCAGTATAATTTATACTCTATTTACTACTACTTAAAGTCCTGCCCCGGCAAAGTATTTAACCAGTACTTAATTAAATTTGCCTAGAATTTAACCAATACAGAACCTAGATAGTTCCATCAACTCTTCCTAGATTGCCTTCCAGTTTTTCAGAATTCTGCTTAGTAGCTAATTGAGGGGCTTAAGAATAGGAACAAGCAAGCAATTTTCATTTTCTTCTGTAATCAGAGCAAGACTTAAAATCAGATCTCTGGTGGTAAAAAAAATTTTTAAATAGCAGGACTATAGAGTAGTTGTGTGCAATGTTTAGAATTGCATGTTTTCCTTCCCATTTTTTAAAATCACTTTTCATAGAAGAGCCCATTCCAGCAAATGGCAAATGTGAATGTCATATTTGAACATTCTACTGTTCTGCTTCACTTTAATTTGTTCTTAAAAAACATTGATTTTCATCTAGATGTTTAAATATAAATTTTATAACGACAGAAGCCAGCCTGAAGTATGATAAAAAATTACATTTGATTTCCACATGTTTTTGCTACACAAATACACTCAATTCAAATACTAACAGTGTAAGCATATTTCTTGTGCACAAAAAAAAATCACTGTGCATATCCAGATGCTTATTAGTAAACTATGCATTCAAATACTCTGAGAAAGATAAACTTGATCAATCAGCTTTAAGATGCCTACACACATTAGTGCAAACCTATAATCTATGGCTTGCAGTGGCTTTAAATGAAAAGCAAACTTGGAAAATTAAAGTGCAGCAAAAATGTATGCAGAATACTGCATTGTATTTTTAGGCTGATGAGTTCTGAGATAATACACTTGCCACTCAAGCCAGCTTGTGATCTTCATCATGCAAGAAAGTCTTTCCTCTAGGAAATGTATTGCTCATACTTTTTTAGGGTTTGTTTCTTTCTGGTCATTTCTAATTTTATTCGTCTTTTTGGGGACTCCAAGCACTGGGCTAGTGATTTTGGTGGCGAGTTTTGGTGGACCACTCCGACCACTGCGTCCAGCGTTTTGATTTTTATTCTGGGCTGTTCGCAGCTTTTGTTCTTGCAATCTCTGTTCCCACCTCTAGAGAAATAATTTCAAGACAAAATGCTGAGTTAGAGAAAAATGTCACAATATAAAGCTATGGATAAAAAACAAGTTCAACTGTTGATACTAAAGCTGCTTCAAGAACTTAGTATTTTACTCACCACTGCTTACAATATATCACTACTCTCAAAAGTAAAGGGTCTGATCCCAGGTTCCTTGCGCATTGCAAGTTTCCACTGATTTCAGTGATACCCTCTTAAGAGTTAAATGAAATCAGTGGGACTTCCCTAAACATAAGGATCCAGGTGTACTGATCTCTTTGGAGGACCAATTGACTCACACTAACCAATTGATTATTTGATTTATAGAATCTGCCCATTTGATCTCATTTCAGGTAAACAGAGAGCAACCCACCCTTTTAAAGAATATATTGAAACATCATCATGTAACAAAGTTGCATTTATGTTCTAGTTTCTTCTTTTTATTGGGTAAGGAAAGGCAGGAAATAACCAGACTGTTTTTGATAAGTGAGGCAAATAACTATGTAAGTTGCTGAACATTTTAGCAGAAGGATGTGCTGCTTTTCCTAAGCTGACAAAATATCTAGCATAATTCCTAAGGAGTTCTACAGACCAACAGAAAGTCTTATATTATTCCAGGCAGCCTATGTAGAATTTATTTAATTGGTTATGCTTACCTTGAATCTTTTATTTAGCTGATCTTTCCATTTTTCAACTAAACAGCCATCAAGAAGCATCAGCCTGCAAATTTCAAAGAGCACAAACATTCTATGTTAAAAATACAAATATCTAGTTTCCTGCATATCAGTACCTAAACCATAAAATACTTAATTGTACATACTTAGTCAGTCATTGTTCCAATTGATTTACTATAGACAAGAAATATTTTCCAAAGCGGACCAGTCCAAACAAATTTGAAGCAAACAAACAGGGTTTTTTAACGTACATTTTTTCTTTTAAAGGCTTTGCAACTGAAATAAGACAGTGTGGCATATCTAATGCCTAGTGGTTGGTGGCATAGCAAGTTTGCTGAGTACTCGGAGCAGGGTTGAAGGCAGGGTGTATACCAACCATGGTAGATGGGGGAAGGGAAGGGAAGTCTTACCTGCCTGCGCTGCTGCTGCTGCTGCTGCTCAGCATCAGAATGACAGCTCCCATGGTTGGCCTTCCTTAAAACAGATCTTGATGCCCCATTTACTCCCTCCCCTCTCCCCCCAGTACATATAAGTTAGGAGCCAGACTATGCCTCTTCTGGCAAAGCCTTCCTGGGGGGAGGTAGGGGCATTCTGTTTAACACACTTACCCCCACTCCCAATACACTGCTAGGTGCAGTGCTGCCAGTCTCCTGTGACTGGGCAGGGGCAGTGCAGGCCTTCCCCACTGCTGCAAAGGCTCCCAGTGGGGGGAAAGAAGCACCATTCAACTTACCCCACTCACCATCCTTCAACCCACAGATATACTGCTTGGTGCAGTGCAGAGCTTCCCCTGCCACAACAAAGACTAACAACAGGGGATGGAGGGATTCTGGCACCCCCTCACGGTCAACACCTGCTGGCCTTGCCCTAGTTATGCTACTGTCTAGCACCTAAGAAAAAATTTCGGAGTCTCCATTTTTACTTGCAGGTGTTCTGTAGATGAAAATTACCCTGGCTTGACCATGGGTAGAGAAGAACAATGGGCTGGGTATCTGGGTCCCGTGCCTATCTATTTGATATGTGCAAACAGAATCATATCCCTTGTGATATATATTTAATACAAATATCAATCAAATACTGTATTTACTAGAATATGAGACAACCCCCAATAATTATTCTATGTTTACATTTATTATAAATTTTTAGGTATAGAATCTAATTATTGGAGGCTTTCCTTGATTTTATCCCTCTCCCACTGCTACAGCAGAAAAAATAAATCTGGGGGATCAGGTAGCTCACTTGCCCTCTGTCCCACCATCTTTCTCCCCCTGTCCCTTCCCTACTCCTTACAGTCAGACCCCACTCTGCCTGAGAATATGGAAGTGAGGACAAAATCTGAAAACACTGGGAGCATCAACATGTGCAATTAATGTGAAGCAATAAATCCTGTGCATATTGCACTGGAGTTTATTGCTCCCATCTACACATGCACCCATCTGGCAGGAGGCACTGGGGGGTCACCCCGCCAGCCCAGGGCTGCTCCCCCCTGGCTCAGTTTGCTGTGGAGGGGCAGGCCGGGACATGAGAATGCTCCAGTACATGGCTAGCTGGCAGGAAGCCCCTGGACTGAAGCACCCTCATGCCCCGGCCAGCAGGATATTATTTGTATTTGCAAGTACTATCCTGGTACAGAGTTAAACAGTTTATCCAGCCTAATAGCATATGCACATGTAGCATGACACTTACTGTGGAGCTAATTAGCCCACTCTGCAGTAAACATCTCATATAGATATGCCCCCAGTCCTGTACCTGTAGTACAGGTACCCATCAGCTTAGTTCATGCAAAATTTTGATGCATTTTTGAAGCTGCTACAAGTTTTAGCACCGGTACCCCATAAACATACTTTTAAGCAGCATATTTATACCAACTTATATATAGTACAAACTATATGCATGATATTAGTTCAAACCCAAAAGTCTCATGATTTACCATACAGTTCATTGGGCTGGGCCCCAGCAGAGTCAAGAGCATTTGAAGCCAGGGTGACCTCAGAGCTTAGCACTGCTCAGTATGTATGCAGCAGTAGGGAAGGCCTGCACTGCCCCTGCCCAGTCACAGTACTGCGCAGGGTGGCAAAGGCCTGCAGCAAGACAGTAGCCCTAGACTTCAGGAGGGTGGATTTCATTGAGCTAAGGAGTCTAGTCGGGGAGGCACTGGGGTCCTGGATGGGTGAGGAGTTGGGAGTCCAAGAAGAGTGGTCGTTCCTGAAGGAGACGATCCTCCAAGCCCAAAGGGTGGCAATCCCAACACGGAACAAAGGGGGCAAGAGTGCTCAAAAGCCCTCATGGCTCACCAAAAGCATCCAGGAACATCTCAAAGCTAAGAAGGAGGCATACACCCAATGGAAGGGAGGGGCCATCACCAGGGAGGACTATACCTCCGTTGCTCGGGATTGTAGCAGGGCTGTTAGGAAGGCCAAGGCGGAAATGGAACTGGGACTAGCAACCCGGATCAAGGATAACAAGAAATCCTTTTTTAAATACATAGGGGGTAAAAAGAAGGTTCTGGGTATTGTAGCGCCTCTGCAGGACACGCTTGGAAATCTGATGGTCTCACCGGATGACAAAACTAACCTATTTAACAATTTCTTTGCCTCCATTTTTCTGAGCAGAGACCAGATCATCCCCCACACTGGGATCCCTGATGGTCCCAGGGAAGGCGCAGCCAGGCCCAGGGTCAGAGAGGACCTAGTCAGGGAACTTTTGGTGGGACTGGACATGTTCAAATCAGCAGGTCCTGACGATCTCCACCCCAGAGTGCTGAGGGAATTAGCAGAGATCATTGCGGGACTCCTGGCACAGCTTTTCGAGCACTCATGGTGCTCTGGCGAGGTGCCAGAGGACTGGAAAAGAGCCAATGTGGTCCCCATTTTCAAAAAAGGGAGGACCAACATGGGTTCATTAGAGGCAGGTCCTGTCAGACCAACCTGGTGGCCTTCTATGACCAGGTCACAAAATCCTTGGATGCAGGTGTCGCGGTAGACGTAGTTTTTCTGGACTTTAGGAAGGCCTTCGACACTGTCTCTCACCCCATTCTCATTAAAAAATTAGGAGATTATGGTGTCGATGCCTACACAGTCAGATGGGTCACCAATTGGCTGGAGGGCTGCACCCAGAGAGTGGTGGGGGATGGGGAACTTTTGACCTGGAGGGATGTAGGCAGTGGGGTCCCCCAGGGCTCGGTCCTCGGGCCTGCACTGTTCAACATCTTTATCGGCGACTTGGATGAGGGGGTGAAAAGCACCTTGTTCAAATTCACAGGTGACATTAAGATGTGGGGAGAAGTGGGCATGCTAGAAGGGAGGGACAGGCTGCAACTGGATCTGCACAGGTTACAGTGGTGGGCGGATGAGAATAAGATGGGATTCAATACTGACAAGTGCAAGGTGCTGCATCTAGGGAAAAAGAACCAGCAAAAGACCTACAGGCTGGGGAACTCCCTTCCCATCAGCAAAGAGGCAGAAGAGGATCTTGGAGTCATTATACACTCCAAGAGGAACATGGGCCACCAATGTGGGGATGCAGTTAGGAAAGTTAACCGCACCTTGTCATGCGTCCCCAGATGCATCACAAGCAGGTCCAAGGAGGTGATCCTCCCCCTCTATATGACATTGGTCAGGCTGCAGTTGGAGTACTGCGTCCAGTTCTGGGCACCGCACTTCAGGAAAGATGTGGACAACATTGAGAGGGTTCAAAGGAGGTCCACTCGCATGGTCAAGAGGCAGCAGGGCAGGCCCTACGAGGAGAGGCTACGAGACCTGAACCTGTTCAGCCTCCACAAGAGAAGGCTGAGAGGAGATCTGGTGGCTGTCTATAAACTGTCCATGGGATACCAGCAGGCAATGGGAGAGTCCCTGTTCCCCCAAGCACTACTAGGAGTAACAAGGAATAACGGCCATAAGTTGACAGAGAATAGATTCAGGCGAGATATCAGGAGGCACTACTTCACAGTCAGGGCGGCTAGGATCTGGAACCAACTTCCAAGGGAAGTGGTGCTTGCTCCTACACCGGGGGCTTCAAAAGGAGGCAAGTTAATCACCTAACCGGGGTCGTTTGACCCCAGCATTCTTTCCTGCCCATGGCAGGGGGTCGGACTTGATGATCTGCTCAGGTCCCTTCTGACCCTACCTTCTATGAAACTATGAAATTATGTGTATATACTCCAGATATCCCCAACAAAGTATCCATGTGTTAAATAGCCTCCCACTCATGACCGGAACTGGGTGTTTTGTGATCTCCAAAAATGTATATGCAGATGAGGTGCAGGGCAACCTGGTCTGCCTCCACCTCATGGAGGGGTGCTGCACTAATCGTATGTGACAGGCTGATAGAAGCAACATAGGGATTCTGGGTGAACTGTTTGTGGCCTGTTTGGAACTCTTTGATGATGTTTGCCAGACATTTAAGGCTGGTAAAGAAACAGGAATCACTGGAAATAGGAAAGAACACTGCAGCTCAGCTGCGGGAGTGTAGAGGAAGTAAAAAATGTATTTAGTGTAGTGGCTCACCATGACTTTTAAATCTGGAACTGAGGGGGACTTCACTCAATGGGAATGGTATATTATTCAGATGGGCTGCACTATCCTATCCTTGCACTAGGTTCTTATCAGTATGTTTGCCCAATGTAGGTCATGTGTTTTATAGTCATGCTCAGTGTTGGCTGCAATGAATCAGCTTCATAATTGGTTTCCATTACTGGGCTCATGCTGCTTTTGAAAGCAATTTAATGACAAACAACATGTTTAAAGATCTCTCTTTGTATACAAAGAAAAGACAAGGGTTTTTTTCCCCTATGCTGATTGGGAAAAAGCCTTATCTTGTATTCAAATAAATATGGCATGTAGGTGAAGAAATGATTCTTGCTATGTAAGACAATACAAGGCCCAATTATTTCAGCCACTGCAAGGCAAGTTAAAAACTGGATGACTCCAAATGTCAAATGTCAGAGCTGGCCTGCAGGCTGACTCAGTATTGGCTGGAACAGATGGATTAAACTAGAGGGAAATACTGGTTCTGAATTTATGTGGCTCCCATGATCCATCACCTGCCACTTCAGCTGGGAAATTCTAGCATGCATACTGTGCACTCTGCTAGCTGAACCAATGATCTGACCCAGTATTACAATCTTTGTGCTTCTTTGTTCCTAAGCACAAGTAAATTATGGAGGTATAAAGACTTGATATGACACTACTTTGTCTAATGGTTTGTTTATCTTGTATAACTATTTTACAAATGTTTCAGGAATCTTAAAGATATATGGTATATCTCATCCTGTAAAGTCAGCTAGCATTAGTACAATATAATAAGAAAGACAGGCCTCAAAAAGCAAAAAAAAAAAAAAAACTAACAAAATTTTGGAAGCTTCAGAAAAGGTCTAAAATATTTTCACCTAAAATCACAACCTCACCTCCTTAAAATATAACATCACAGTCCAGACATAAGTATGCTGTGACTTTGGAACACTGGGATTTCCAACTCTCTACACTGCTATGCGGCACCCCTTTCAAGCTTTACTTGTTCATGAGATACCAAACCTAATAGCTATTGACTTTACTGGCCGATATAATACTATCTGTTTTCAGACTTTGTAGATTTCAGTTAAGACACATGTATCAGCCAGCTTAATAAAGCAACAGGGTGCTATCAATAAGCACAATTTAATGTGATACTTAACTGCTAAGCAAGGATCTGTACTGTCTCATATAGGGCCCAATTCTCCAACTGCCTTGTTACCTGTGCATCAGTGCAAAATGGGTATAAAATGCTACCTGAGCTGACAGCATTTGCAGCCATTTTCCCCAAAGTTCAAGACAGTGGAGAATAGAGCTAATATAATACTTAAGTATTCTTTTCTAGTAATGCTTAGATTGAAAATCTGTATGAATGAAGTTGTAATGTGATATATTCTTAAGGGCTTATGTTTTGTCCAGAACAAGTTATAAGGTAGAATCCTAGCCCCATTGAAGTCAATCAGTGATTCATCATTGACTTCCCTGGAGCCAGGATTTCACTCATTATGACTTCTGACATTTTAAAAAGCCACTGTAAATGAAACCATTCTGTTTACATACCAGTGAGTTCAACAGGAAACACATATAATGGTTTGTGCTTTCTTTTTTCAAACCCATTTTAGTACAGTATATGAAATTAAAAACCTCAATGCCCTTTACAAATCACCCACAACATATTTGCTGAATTGTTTGTTTTTCCATTGTAATTGAAAAGCAGATTGCAATCTGTCTGTGATAAAAATGTTTTTCCTATATATACGAGATCCTAGAGGTCATGCTACAGGAAAAAGTTGGAGGTTAAGACAGGGTTCTAAACTTAGTTTTGACACCTAATTTGTGATTCTTTTCACCCATCTATGCCGTACAGCCCCTATCTATAAAATTGGCATTGCAACAAAGTTTTTCTAAAAATTAACTTATCTTAAAGTATTTTCAGATCCTTAGGGAAAAGATGCTATGTAAATTTTAAATATTATTAATATAAGCTTGTACAAAAATCTTTGTTAAGTTTTAATAAAGTTACTCCAGTAATTAATATAATCCTTATACTAACTACATAGAGGTAGTTTTAAAATATTAATACTTTAATATTTAAAAACTACAGAAATAACCCATTAAACTTCTATATGTAACTGCTCTATGATCCTTACGTTTTGGATTTTCAGTTAATAATATTGCCCCACAAAAATACAATGTATACAGATTCTGAACAACCTTGACTCCAACCACAAGCACATATTTACCTGTTGCTATCTGAAGTCATGGATTTGCAGGGACTATATATATTCCCTTAAACTGTTTATTGGATAGTGATCAAGGAAACAACCTTAGTTATAGTTTCACAGCAGAGAAGTAGCCTTTTCTACTATTTGTCCCCTTTCTTTTAAATTTGATTAAACTGATCCTTGTACAACACTATAATTTCTTACCTGGAACGCCATTCATAACACATGATCAGGACATCTTGCTTTGGTTGAAGAGGTGGACACTGGCAGGATGAATTCGTAATAAGAGGCACTTGTGACCGAGGGATAGGTGTTGAGGACTTCAGTATGTCTTTCACTTCAACCACTGTCGTTACTTCATTGCAGCTCCTTCTTTCCACTTCCTTTACTTTAGCATGAATAACTGCAATTTGAAAAGCAAGGACAAAATTTAAGTAATTGAAGGAATACTCAGGATTTCAGGAAATATCATTTAAAATTGAATAAAGCTTTTTCATATCATATAAGCTCCTGCTTCAGTTGTAAACTGAGGCAGGAACCATTTCTTCTTATGTGTGTATGCACATGGCCCAGGGCACAGGGACCTGATCCTAATTGGCTTTTCAACCTGATTACTCAAAATATAAAGTTGAGCACGTCCCTGTTGCTGTCTTCATGCCTATCCTGCAAACCATTACCCTACAGACAACCCCGTGGACTCCAAGGATTCTAACTCACACAAATAAGTTGGTTGTTCATTCCCAACTCATTATTATTTATGGTTACTTTGACATATTTACATTATGACATAGAGATTTACCATGAAACCTATTGTCCTTTCAATAATAAAACCATTCAAGCTTCTGAAGGTTAGCTTATGACTAGAAAAGAGATTGTCAAAACCTCAAGGTGTATGTTAAGAATTTCAGATACCTTAAAAAATGAGTAGGGTTCTAAATAAAAAACTTAGTAGCTTACTTAACTAGGGGGGTTCAAAATGTACATAGTTAATAATAATAATAATACTGTTTCTTCCCTTAAATGAAAGTTATTGAAAAATTCTTGCAAAAGCACTATCCTGTCTTGATATTGGATTATATTTTAAGAGAACAGGTACACACATAAAATAGTCACTGAAACTTGTTTCCCTAGCTATAGAAAGGAGAAACATATGGTGACATTTGGGTTCTGTAGTGCTAAGCATCTGAACAACACTGAAAAACTACATAGATTTTAAAAGAGGCAATTCATTCCTTCAGTAAGAGACTTCTGATCAAACTTACATCGGGGTTTTAAGAAGAGCCTGCAAATCCTTTTCAGAAAGTTCTTTTCTCAATAAGCTGCATTAGTAACTGGCAAATTCCAGAAATACAGCAAGATATTTTATGGAAGATCTTGCCATTTGATCATCTCTATTATGAATGGAAAATAGGAAGTCTGCTGCCATCAGACTGATGGGAAACTCTTGTATCAGATTACACATTTTCCAAGCCAGCTTGTGCTTTCTTCACATACACAAAATTCCTATTGAAAGTGACAGGCGTTTTGAGTGAGTGGGGAAGGACTGGTTCTTACTGAAAGACTTCTTTTACAGGACTCAGCACTCAGGTGAGTCCAGCATGAGGAAAAATAGAGGAACAGGGAAGTCAAATGACAGAGACTGGACATGTCTATATGTTCATAGTTACTGCACTAAACATTAGGTTTAGTACTTGTATAACCAAGTACTAAATCAATGCACAGTACCTGGTGCTACTGCACAGTAGCACTGGCACATGGGTTTTTAATGACACTAACTGCACAGTAGCCTAATACTACTGCACAGTAGCATATTAGCACAATTTTTGCCCTGCACGCTACTGCACAGTAGAATTAGACTACTGCACAGGTAACATCTCATGTAGATGCATCCATTGTGACTGATATATAAACAGAGTTGCTCCTTTTTTTCCCCTTTATACAGCATATAATTACAACCACAAAAAATGTATAACAGGGCACGATCAGCATATATCTACCTTACCACCTGCAAGTCAGAGATATCTATGTGGAACTCTGAATGTTTGGAATAAACTTCAAAACATAGCGGAAAAATACCTATTAAGAAGGCAGTATTTACAGGATCATTGGAATGATATGTATTAACTGTAACTATAGCACAAATCTGTATCACCCACATACAGTGCTTTAAGAACCTAGGTTTTCAAAAGCACTGAAGCAATTCTGAAGTTTACATCCCTTTTTCAAATCTTACTTAATTTGCAAATGACTTAGGTACTTTTAATATTTTTTTATGTTAACTTGTAATTGGGAATTTGCTTTACAACAATGAAAATAGGTAAAGACTTATTACAGACTTCCTAAAAAAGCATTTTGTTCCTGGGAATTGTTTAAAAAATAAAATATAAAATCATAACAAAAGCCAATTGTGGTAACCAATTATGATTTTTTTTTTTTATTTAACCAGTTGTGATTGGTTAATTGTCATTTTTTTTTTTTTTTTGTATTTAACAGCCTGGCCCAAATCATCAGAAAGATATGTTGGTTACATATATTATTCTAAACCAGATTTTCAGCAGAACAAGAATTTGATTGGATATTTCCCCTGTATTTTTTTGCTATTCCTCTTCTGACAGTAAAATACCTATTGATTTTGAAAGGGGAAATCTAAGAACCTCAAAGCTAAAATCTTGATTGTAGACATAATGAATGCAATGTGATGCTTTCAGTTTCTCTAAAGGTAGATCGTGAACCTGCAAGCTTCATTCAGGTAAACTCATGCTGAAGCACATTTCATTTTAACTTGCTTAAAGTACAGTCATTTTAAGTTGCTGCTTTTTCATGCATTTTAGACAAATGCAGATAATGGAAAAGTTCAGTGTTCTACCAGTTCATAGCCTTAGCATCACCAAAGTGCAATGATTTAATACAAATGTGTTTACCAATAGCTCAGCATGGTAAATGCCCATTTCTTTTTACAAAGGGCCTCCTGACTTCACATAAGTGTTTGTTTAAACCTTAAAGATGTAAGCAACTAACCTGATCATGTAATCTGATACAAATATATCATGTTATAATGTTTATTGTAATAAAATCTAACATCCATATTTTGTAATAAATGAATTCCAGTAACACCCCTCCCAGAAACAGCACCTGTAGATTGCTATAAATTATATTAGTACATGAGAAATCCACTGTTGATTTTACGGACTTTATTATTAAAAGGTAAAAAATATAAATAGTTTTTCTTACTCACTTGTGTTCAGAAATTATTTTTAGAGATCAAAACATGTATATTGTCTCTGTGTCATGCAATGTAACATAAAAGCCATGAGCCAGGTCCTCAGTTGGTAAAAACTGTTATAACAACATTGACTTTAAATGATCTCTAGCTGACACAACTTGACACAACTTGAGTATCTGATCATATGATTGTAATGGCTAACATGCAAAATATAGTAAATTTTATGATGACCAAAAATAAGTCTATGACTTAATTTGTGAGTAAATAACAAAGTTGCTTTTCTAGCTTTCCTTGCCCCTTTGCTTTCATTGCTTTCATATAAACTATTTTCAGCTGGTTGGAAATGCAAAATTGTATTTACATGGCCAAAAAAGATTCTGGTTTCCCTGACAAAGAAAAATAAACATGGCCATCCTCAAAGTCTCCAGCTATTTTGTGCATCTAAATGCATTAATCACCGCAGGTAAATTTGTTAATATATTAACGGATTTTTTTCTCCTCTCAATTCTTCTAAACAATCTCATTGTCCCACTAAATTGTATTGGGAAAATCTTTTATTATAGAAACACTGCACCACCCTGGTGAGTTTTAATGACTGAAAAGCTCTAGAGATTTGCTAGTTGCTATTTTAAGGAAAACAAAGTGAGATGTTTCCAGGGAAAACAATTTTTTATAGTCTCAGAGAATGGTGTGCAGTTATGATTATTGGTTTGCTAGAATTGATAGACCCAATCTTTTCTTTTTAAATGATTTGCCTTCATAACACAATAATACTAAACACAGCAGCTGAAAGACTCCGTAAGAACATAAGAATTGCCATTTACTGGGTCAAACCATAGGTCCATCTTGCCCAGTATCCTGTGTCATAGTAGCAGAGTGGATTCAAAAAGGGAGAGTGAACTGGGTAGGACCAGGGTGTTTTTTTTCACTGTTCCTTTCTCCCTTGTAGCTTCAAGCATTTTAAGGTCGAGGAAATTCTAATTCAGAGGCTGTATCCATAACTCCCATGTTCAATAGCTACTGACGCCCCTTCCCTCCAAGAATTTGTCCAGTCCCATTTTGAATCTGGCTAAACTGCCAGCTTCTACAATATTTGGTGGCAATGAGTTCCATGCTTTAATGAGTTTACACACTGTGTAAAAAAGAACTTCCTTTTGTTAGTTTGAAACGTACACCTACTAGTTTCATGTTATGACCCCCTAGTTCTTGTATTGTGAGAGAGAATAAATAATAAATCCCTATTTATTTTAAACTCTTATCATGCCCCCTCTCCCCACCCAACCTCAAACCCCCTCAAGGAAACTTTGACGTGATTTCCCTGCTGCACTTACTGTAGCTGTAGTTCCTGGTCAGGTAAGTTGCTAGGGTTGGCTTTATCTTTTTGCACTTGCAGCGATCTTTAAACAAACAGGAAAAAAAAGCATAGGGAAAATGTGAATTGACACTATGTCAAGCACAGGATTATTTTAAGGGAGTGATGAATCAGTAGGAGACACACCATGGTTTACATTCTTGCAGTCAGATTCTTGGGGTCTTTCTTGGACTATCACATCCTGAGTAAAATCCATCCACTTCACATCTGAAAAACCAAGATAAAAACTGCACTCAAGCCATGCCAAGAACCCAGTATATGACAGCAAAGGAAAGCCCCATTCTGAATAAACAGATTAAAATAATTTTTGAAAGTTGTGTAGGTACTTTAGATAAGGATGATCTGTCCCTGAGCTGGGGATTGGACTAGATGACTACCTCCTGAGGTCCCTTCCAGTCTTATTTTTCTATGATTCTATGAATCAATGAAAAAGAAACCCGCAGGGGCATCCTACTTTGCTTCTACAATACTCATCTCCTGCAATCAGCCTGCCGGCTCCATCTTCCCTGGAAGCGCTTGTCTGCAGGAGGTCCCCTGCTTGCCCCTAACAGCCCTAGAAGCTGCATCAAGTGATGCCGACAGGGTTTCAGCAGGGGACTGCCAGTGTGTCCCTAGAAGCTGCATCAAGTGGGCAGTGATGCTGGCAGGGTTTCAGCTAGGGTTTCATGAACATAGGGCATGCTTGGCCTCACCATGCTGCCAGCTTGCCCCTAGCTGCCATCTTCCAGGCTAGTAAGAGGCACTGGGAGAGGGCAGCTCTTCTCCCTGATCTGTTTCTGGGGGCCCTGCCAAGGGAAAGACGATGGCCCTTTACCTAGCTGGATTTGTCTGGGAGTTTCAGAGATGTCTTGAAGAAGGGCCAGATCAGCATTTCTCAGCCCATGAGTTGTGACCCGAAAGTAGGTCCCAAGAATATATGAAAGGGTTGTGAACAAACTTTTTAAGTGATTAACAAACTTTAAAACTGGATTCTCCTTTAAAGGAGAAATTGTGTGGCTTTCCCTTTGCAGGCTGGCAGAGTTCCCCCCAGTGCCATAGTAATGAAGTTTAGCACCCAGGGCAAAGCCTGCAGTGGCAGCCTACCCTCACCCCATACACAGATCCATGGAGCACATGCTGCCCTCCCCACACTTGCTCGGGAGTGCACACAGAGGTGGGAACCGCCCTTCCCCTGTTTCCACGTCTCCCCAAATGAGCTGCTCACGGCTGTGCCCTGCCCCGGCTGAGCAGCACCTGTTGGCACCCTTTTGTTTTGGCTTGCCCTTAGGGTGGTCATCATAGAGGACATTTAAATTTTCTGCTACTCTGTCCACTATCAGGGCCAGCCCATCCTATACTGTGAAACCTGCGGCCGCAGGGGGCTCCGAAGCTAAGGGAACCCTGTGTCCAGCTGCTCACCATCCCTCTCCCTGCTCCCCGCCTCTGCTGGCAGCTTCTTTGGGGCAGGGGCCCCCAAACTATTTCTTGCATGGGGCCCTGAAAAATTGTGGGCCGGCCCTGTTCTCTATTGATACGAAACCCAGCGCCTTTATGTCCTCTATTTTTCTCTTGAAGAGACACTATGTGAATTTTCATTCGAAGAGAAAAATAGAGGACATAAAGGTGCCGGGTTTCCTCTCAATAGAGGACAGAGGACTAGCAGACAACACAGGAAAAGTGCAATGTGGGAACAGGAGAGGTGTAACGTGGCCAAGCGCCCCGTGATGGCCACCCTACTCGCCCTGCTTTGCTACGGCACTTGTTCCCCCACAATGGTCCTGGTACAAAAAAGGCTGGCAAGCAGGCAAAGCCGTGCCCCAGGGGAGCGGCTCTGCCAGCGCTGGTTGTGTGAGAGGAGAGGCAGGCGCTGCCCGGGGCATGGGCCCTCCTGCCCGCCGAGCCCGGGGGCTGCCCCAGCGCCGTGCCCGCAGCCCTCCGCCGCCCCGCG